AGTGCTTTCTAATTACTTCCTCACTACTTAGCCCTCTTTGCTCTCATCACTCTGCTGAAGTATCTAATTTGAAACCCTATTTCAACTCTCTGCTGTTTGATACTGTTCATTTTATTTTCCTTCTAGAAGTACCAAATTCAACTACAATTGGGAAACTTAGAAGGCTCTAGAGAAAAGAAATATTGAAAAAAATGGGCTGGGCGTGGTGGCAGGTGGATTTCTGTGAGTTCCAGCCCAGGCTGGTCTATAAACTGAGTTCCAAGCCAGCCATGGCTACATAGTAAGACCCTGTCTCAAAAAAGAAAAAAAAGAGAGAGAAGGAAAAAAGAACTAGTGAAAAACAAGGAGCTGATAATGTCCCAGAAGACAAGTAGCATAACTTACTGTAGCACTAATAGCTACACATAGTAGGGTCTGCACAACAGGATTTGCATATGTAGTTTTGTAACCTGTTTTATTTTCAGTTAACTATCATATGCACATATATGACTAGAAATATATTCATAATGACAGCTCTAGATCAAAGATGTTTTGTTCTTAGTTAGGCTAGTCTTCATTTTCTAACATTTATATAGTGAGCATACTAATTATAATAAATTTTATAATCTTAATTATAACTGTGTTAAATATTATACACAAATTTATCTAATGTCAACATTGTTATCCCTAATTTATAATAAAGAAACTAATACATAAAGCAATTAAGTAAATTGTCTACAGTCATGTGAATTATTTGTACAAGTATTAAAGTATAAGTAAAGTAGAAAAAAGTATTAAGTATTAAAGAATAAGTCAGGAGCCAGACATGCTGACACATGGTGGCTAATGAACCATTCATAACTCTAATTCCAGAGGACCTAACGCCCTGTTCTGGCTTCCAAGGTCATTGCACAATATAGTGTAAGATGCACTTACATACATGCAGGCAAAACACTCATACACATAAAATAAAATAAGTAAATAGATCAAAAAATGTTTTAAAGCTGGGTGTGGTAATGTGCACTTGGAATCCTACTGCTGGGGAGACCCAGACAAGTGGATCCAGGGGCTCCCTGTCCAACCAGCCTAGCCTCCTTAACAAGTTCTAGGCCAATGAGAGACCTGCTTCAAAAAAAAAAGAAGTAGGTGGTGCCTGAGGAATAACACCAAAAATTGTCCTCTGGCCTCTGCACATATGCACATAAACATGCATGCACACACAAGAACAACAGTCAGGGGCCCTTTTCCTTCTATAGATTTGATAGATTGAAAATGCTCAGTGCTGGGTGGGGGGCGTTGGGGGAGAAGAAAAAAAGCAACTAAAACCCCAAACAAATTTTGTTTGAAAAATGCCATAATGCAGCATAATTCTTTGTCCAGCACTCGGGAGGCAGAGGCAGGCGGATCTCTGTGAGTTCAAGGCCAGCCTGGTCTACATAGTGAGTTCCAGGACAGCTGGGGCTACAGGGAGACCCTGTCTCAAAAAGACCAAAAAATAAAAATAAAATAGAAAAAATAATGTGGTCTTGAGTAGATTGCTCAGTCTTTCTGAGCGTCTTCTCATTTTAGGAAGCATGGAACCTAAGCTGTGCCTGATCACAGAGTTACTAGCAATGAAAAGGTGAAAACAATCCAGATGCCTAATAGTAAGAAAACTGTTACAATTATGATAAATACATGTTACTTTTTATTAAACCATTGACAATCTTTTTCTTTTGGTCTTTTTAGAGATAGTGTCTCCTTATAGCCCCAGCTGGTCTGGACTCACTATGTAGACCAGGCTGGCCTTGAATTCACTGAGATCTGCCTGCCTCTGCCTCCTAAGTGCTGAGACTAAAGGTGTTCACCACCATGCCCGGCTATTAACAATCTTTTTAAAAAAGTTTTTTGAGGCAGTGTCTCACTATGTCCTCCTGGCTTGCCTGGAATTCACAGTATAGATGAGGCTAGTTTCAGACTCACAGAGATCTGCATGCCTCTCCCTCCCAAGTATTGGATCAAAGGTATGTGCCACCAAGCCAAGCAACAATCATATTTTGAACAATACTGAGTTAAGATAATGGTTCCTATATTTGCCTTTGAACTCCATACTCTCTTTTCTGGATACCTCACTAATATCTCCACTTGGCTCTTTCACAATCACCTATTTATTTATTTATTTATTTATTATCTTTTTGAGACAGGGTCTCCCTGAAGCCCCAGCTGGCCTGGAACTCTCTGTACAGACCAGGCTGGCCTTAAACTCACACAGATCTGCCTGCCTCTGCTTCCCGAGTGCTGGGACTAAAGGCATGCGGCACTATGCCCAACAACAATCACTTTTTTAAAAAGATTTATCTATTCTATTTTATCTGTGTGTGTGTGACTGCTTGTCTGTATGTGCACATGTATGCTGGTGCCCTCAGAGACCAGAAGAGGATCCCTTGAAACTGGAGTTACAGGTGGTTGTGAACCACCCATTGTGGCTACTACCAAACTTGAGTCTTGTTCAAGAGCAGCAAGCACTCTTAACTACTGAGCCACCTTTCCAGTCCCCCTCACAATCATCTTAAATCAGATAAACCAAAGAAGCAATTGATCAGAAACAAATTTTTAAAAAATATTTTTTGTTATTTTTATTTTATGTGTATGCGTGTATTGCCTGCACGTAGGTTAAGTGCACCCGTGTCGTACAATGCCCACGGAGGACAGAAGAGGCTGTCAGATCCCCTGGAACTGGAGTTATGGATAGTTGTTAGCTGCCATGTGGGTGCTGGGATTCAAACCTGAGTCTTCTGCAAAAACAGTCAGTGTTCTTAACTGCTGAGCCATTTCTCCAGCCCCCATTTTCTTTTTTAAATCAAAACATTTTACTTATTTTTATGTGTATGTCTTACCTGATGTATGTAAGTGCACCTTTTTGCACAATGTCTGTGGAGGCCATCAAAGGGTATCCGATCCCCTAGACTACTGTTAGCCACCATGTGAGCGCTGGTAACTGAGCCTGGGTCCTCTGCAAGAGCAGCCAGTGCTCTTAAATGCTGAGCCATCTCTCAGCCCCACAAATTCATTTTCTATGCTCACTTCATCAAGCCTGGTTATCCATCAGTGGTCCCTACCTCAGTGAGAAAGCAGTCCCCTTTCTTCCTTCCTGCCTTCCCCCCTGCTCTCTTTACCATCTGTCTCCAAACCATGTTGGTCCTACTTCTCAATCTCATCTCAGTCTGACCACTTGCTACCATTCTCACTGTTCCTTTGCTGGGACTACTTGGATTATTGCAACAATGTACTAAATGATTAACCCTAAACCTCTCTTCCCTCCTGCAAAGTAGATTCTTCCTGATATAACCAGAGTAATAGCCAAACATTCTCTACTCTGATTACATCTTGCCCATACTTAAACCTCTTTAATGGTTTCTTTTTACTGTTTTTTACTGAGAACCCTGCCTAATCTGAACCTCTTTCTCCCTATCTAGTAGTGTGGACACCAGGTCAGGTTTAATAATTTGCCATTGCCGTCCCCACCTACACACACCCTCACTAAGACAACATCCTTAAATGTTAATCAAACATTTATTTTAAGGCAGATGGACAGAATTTTCTTTCAGAAAAGATTCATTTACCAAGTCACTTCCTCTAACCAAAGTAAAGTCAACATTCTAAAGGAGATTTTCTTTTTCTTTTTTTAGTTCTGGGGATTGGATTTAGGGCTTTGACTGAGCTAGAGTCAGGTTCCTGAAATAATCTGGTAGATTTCTCACATCTTTGTGATTTTTATTCTCTCTTCATTATTGTAGAGAGGGGTGAGAAAGAGCAAGTGTGTGTGTGTGTGTGTGTGTGTGTGTGTGTGTGTTTACAAGAGAGATGTATTAAGAGGTTTTGAGGGGCTGCACAGATGGCTCAGTGGCTAACAGCATGCACTGCTCTGCAGAGGACCCACATTCAGTTCCTAGCACCCCCGTTGGTGGCTCATAACTCCAGCTCCAGGGCAATCCAATGCCTCTTGCCTTCTGTGCACGCTCATGTGCACACACACACACACACACACATGCACACACACACACAAAATTAAGATTTTTAAAAATAAAGTTTTTATTTAAATAACAGAAGAAGCACTTGTTTCTGAAAACTGCATTTGTGCCATGTACTATTTCTTGAAATTCTGAAGAATTTAAGCCAACTAGGTCTGTGCATCATATAACGAATATTGCACTCAGGTACCACACAGAGTATTAGCTCCCCGTGACTATAGTCCTCTTTTGCAGGAGGGGAAACAATTTAAAGTTCAACCAGAGTCAACTGACTTATTTCCTGCTGCATAGATCATTTATTTCTCAGTCTGGCTCTGTTCCAGCCTCCTCTTGCCATTCTTGTTGCCTATCAAGCCTGGTCTTTAGGCTTACACAGAATACCAGGTTCACAGTTGAACTCACTGGCAATTCAACCTCATCCTTTTCTTCTTTCACTATTCTCCCAAGAACTACAACCTTCAGTCTTCAGTTCCATGGTTCATTCCTCAACTTTCCATATTTTCATACTTTCCATATTTTCCTTGGCAGTTCTTGGAATGTAAGTATATTATTTGTCTCATTGCTGTGACAAAATACTTGAAAAAGTAACTTAAGGGTTTACTTGGCTTATAGTTTCAGGGTTCACAGTCCATGACCGGGAAGTCAAGGCAGCAGGAGCAGGAAGTAGCTGGTTACATTGCATTCACAGTTAGGAAGCAAAGAGCCGTGAATGCCTGTGCTTAGCTCATTTTCGCTGTTTCATTCAGGTCAGTACTCTGGCTGTAAAAAGGTACTGTGCACATTTAAAGTGGGTGGGTCTTCCGGTGGGTCTTCCCACCCATATATCCTAATCTAGATAATCTCTTACGGACACGTACCAGAAAATTGTTTCCATGGTGATTCTAAATCCCATCAAGTTGACAATTAAGACTGACGATCAAGCCAGGTGTATGGTGAACGCCTTTAGGCCCAGCACTCGGGAAACAGAGGCAGGTGGACCTCTCTGAATTCAAAATCAACTTGATCTACATAGGGATTTCCAGGCCAGCCAGGGCTACATAGTGAGAGCCTATCTCAAAGAAAAAAAACTATTAAAGTATGGATACACATCAGTATTTATGAACCTCACCAGACTGTATGCTCTAAAATTAAAGTCTTATTTATCTTTTGATACTGGGTCTCACTATGTTGCCCAGATTGGCCTCCAACTCCTGTCGGTTCAAAAAAAATCCTCCTGTCTTAAGCTTCCAGAATAGCTGGGCCATAGCACCAGGAATGCAAGAGGACAACTGTCATCCCAGCACTTGGCAGGCGCAGGCACGAGAATCACTGCAAATTCAAGGTCAGCTGGTCTACATAAATGAGTGCTAGGCTAACCAGGGCTACACAGTGAGACTGTCTCAACAAACAAAAACACCTAGCTTGACAAATGTACATAAATGATTTCAAACAACATGTTTAAACAACCTAGCACCACCAGATGAGGCAGATGAGGACAAAATAAACTAATATAAATGGTAATCTGTAGATTGGTAGACAGAATTTTTGAATATTACATAAATGAGTGCTAGGCTAACCAGGGCTACACAGTGAGACTGTCTCAACAAACAAAAACACCTAGCTTGACAAATGTACATAAATGATTTCAAACAACATGTTTAAACAACCTAGCACCACCAGATGAGGCAGATGAGGACAAAATAAACTAATATAAATGGTAATCTGTAGATTGGTAGACAGAATTTTTGAATATATATATATTTTGCCTCCCCAGTGCTGGAACTAAAGGTGTGTGCCACCACACCCAGCTGAATGTATATATTTTTTGGTGGTGCACGCCTTTGATCCCAGCACCCGGGAGGCAGAGGCAGGCAGATCTCTATGAGTTCGAGGCCAGCCTGGTCTACACAGTGAGTTCCAGGACAGCTCGGGCTACATGGAGACCCTGTCTCAAAAACACCAAAAAAAAAAAAAAAAAAAAAAAAAAAAGAAAAAGAAATATTGCCTGGGCTGGCGATGTAGATCAGTAGGCAGAATGCTTGCCTAGCATGCAGGAAGCCATGGGTTCCATCCCCAATATTACATAAATTGGGTGTGGGGGTACAAACCTATAATCCAGCAGGAGGATCAGAAGTTCAAGATCATCCTCTTCTACATAGAGTTAGAAGCCAGCATGAGCTACAGAATACTTTATGGGTCTAATGTGATGGCTCAGTGATTAATCACGGTTGGCTGCTCTTCCAGAGGACGGTCCGTCATCCACAAGCTGACCAGCAACCACTGCAGATCCAGGGGATCCCACGCCATCATCTGGTCTCTGAGGCCACTGCATACAGGCATACAGAATTTACATACCTTCAGGCAAAACACTCACACACATAAAATAGAAATAAAAAAAATTTTTAAAGGGGGGGCATGGAGAGATGGCTCAGCAGTTAAGAGCACTGGCTGCTCTTGCAGAGGACTTGGGTTCAATTCTCAGCACCAACCATCCATAACTCCAGTTCCAGGGGAACCCCATGCCCTCTTCTGACCTCCACAGGTATGGCAGGGCATGGGCACACTTACATACATGTAGGCAATACACTCATACACACACATATATATATATATAAAATAAAAGATGAGAGCGCTAGCCTCAGTGGTACGGGCCTTTAATCTTGGTGCCCAGGAGACAGAGGCAGGCAGAGCTCTGTGAGATGAGGCCAGGCTGGTGTACATAGGGAGACCCTGTCTGTCTCAGAGGGGAATAGGGAAGGGAGTGGCAAGGGAGAGAGGTATGCTGGTGCTGGAGAGGTAGCTCCTAGTTAAAAGTACTTGTTTGTCCAGAGGGCCAGGATTTGGTTCCCACATCAGGGGACTCACAACTTCCTGTAACCCCAGCTACAGAAGATCCTACACCCTGATGCCCTCTTCTGGCCTACACACACACACACACACACGTTTGCTCTCTCTCAATTAAAATCTATTTATTTATTTATTTATTTACTGGGGTTTTTTTTGTTGTTATTTTGGTCTTTTTGAGACAGGGTCTCCCTGTAGCCCCAGCTGGCCTGTAACTCGCAGTGTACACCAGAATGGCCTTGAACTCACAGAGATCCGCCTGCCTCTGCCTCCCGAGTGCTGGGATTAAAGGCGTGCACCACCAGGACCGGCTCCTTTTAAAAAGGGAGACTATAAGTAGCCTGAGAGAGGTGTAGTGACACACATCTGATTCCCAGCACTCAGGAGGCAGGAGTTTAAAGCTAGCCTGGCTACACAGTAATACTATCTTAAATTGATAAAATTCAGAAAGAAAATAAAAAAATCCTTGGTGTGTTCAGAGGGCCCTAGTTCCGGTAAAGAGGGAGTAGGGCTAGGCGAAAGTGATGGAGTGGGCTTGTTTCCAGCCGGGAGACCTGAACAGAGCACGCTGTAGAGTGCAGTGGGGTAAGCAGGGGGGAGGTTAGGAATACGGGCTGAGGAGGCGGAGAGGCACCGCACCCAGCGTCACAGGCACGAAAAGCGACGGAGCTCCTGCCAGGTCGGACCAGTCTCAGAAAAGCGAGGAGCGTCAACAGGAAAGACAGTGCTGAGCTTTTGGGGCTGCTGAGAAAAGGCTGAAAGAGCTGGACTTGACTTCCCGCGCGCCAGCGGAAGGCACAGCAGTTGACAGACAGCCTCACCAGACAGCCCCGTCCTTCCTGAGAGAAGGGCGCCGCACCGGAAAGGGAGGAACCACGCACTGCTCGTCCCGCGTGCCGCTCTGGCGTCAGCAGTAGAAGGCGGAAGCGTAGTCTTCAGGATGCGGTTCCTGGTTGCGTTGCTCCTGCTGCGTGTCGCAGGGACGGGTAAGACCCCCTCAGCACCGCACAGCCTGTCCCCCAGGTCCCATGTCTTCACCTTGGCGGGTCTCCACTTGGCCTGGCTTCTTCCCTACCGGACCCGACCCTCATCTGACGGTCAAAACCCACCTTCCCATTCGGCCATCACCCCTCGGGTCTTCCGGTCCAGTCCCCTTCTCTCCCAGGTCGCTGCTTCCTCGGGCTTACTGCTTTTTCCTGTTTCAGGAGCTCCCTTGGCCCCTTCTCAGTCAGACGCCAACCCGGGAAAAGAAAATCCACCACTTACGCCTTCCGCAGGCTCCAACCATCTCCCCACGCCCCAGCTCTCACACGAAGACCTCAAGTTGATCGAGCAAAAGCTAGCCGTTAAGGAAGTCCGGGGCAAAACTGGGGATCCGAGCAAGGCAGCAAATCCCGATTTGGCCAGGTTCGAGGAACAGACCACTGCAACAGATCTCGAGTCGGCCAAACCCCGAGCGCAGACCGCTGCAACAGATCCCGAGTCCGCCAAGCCCCGAGCGCAGACCGCTGCAACAGATCCGGAGTCAGCCAAGCCCGGACCGCAGACCGCTGCAGCAGATCCCGAGTCCGCCAAACCCCGACCGCAGACCGCTGCAACAGATCCCGAGTCGGCCAAGCCCCGAGCGCAGACCACTGCAACGGATCCAGAGTCCAGAGCACAGGCCCCTGCAGCTGATCCAGAGTCAGCCGGACATGAATCGCGGACCACCGCAACTGATCCCAAGTTGGCTGGGTCCGGAGAGCAGACCGCCATATCTGATCTCAAGTCAGGAGGCCTTGAACAGCAGACCCCGCCAGAAGACCCTAAGCCCCATGACAATGCGCAGGAATCCCCAAAAGATGTTTTGATCTCCAATCCCTCTTCAGATAAGGAGACCCCCAAGAATGACAAGACCCACCTACCTGAAAAAGAACCGTCATCTGCGCATACTTCTAAAACTGAGATTGGGGAGAGACAGACAGTGGCCTCTGACCTCCCTTTGACTCAGGAAAGAGAAGATAAATCTTCAGAGCCTACTGAAGATGTGGATCCTAAGGAGGCTGAAGAAGGTGACACAGAGCCTGAAGAGGGCTCGCCTCTTGAAGAAGAGAATGAAAAGGTGCTGAGCCCTTCCTTCAGTGGGAACCGGGAAGGGACACATCTGGATCCTGTGAATAGCGAGGATAACTCTTACAAGGATAATCCTGGAAGTGCCAATGCAGAGAGCAGCCACTTCTTTGCATATCTGGTGACTGCGGCTGTTCTTGTTGCTGTCCTCTATATTGCCTACCACAACAAACGAAAGGTAAGAGGAGAAGCTTGGTTCCTGGGCAAGTGCCTGTCTCTGCCTGTGAGCCCACTCTGGAGATTTTTAAATCAACTTCAGTTTTTCCTCAGACCCTGCTAGGGCTTATGAAACTAGTTTTGTAAATCATGAGTTTTCATCATGTGACCTGTTTCCTCTGTTGCTATAAGGGCCAAGTTGGACCTGACCTAAATTGGGATCTCCTCCCATACTTTGAACTCAGATCATTTGCAACCTTTGTAAACCTGAGTTCTTGACACATAGACCTCTTACCTTTATCTTTGTCCATGCCTGAGGCACTTTACCATTTCTGGCTTACTTTCCCAACTTCTCTCTCATCTGTAGTGACAGGAAGAATATTTTCAGTCACATAGTGTCTGATACCAATAATAAAAGGCCCAGGGACTTCCCTGTAAGGATAAATAGAAGCAGGTCTACAAATGCACACACCATGTCCCTTAGAAACCACTCTGATGACAAAATGATTGTATTTTTCCCAGTAAGTCCTGAGAGTGTAGAAGATAATCTCAGTAACCTGGTTAAATTGGAGAGTTCATTTTTTTGATGGCTGTTGGGCATATGGCTATAAAGAATGAGAAAGGACCATTGGTAAAAATGCAGTCTTCGTTCTCCATCCAGATGTTCATGATGAGTGTGGTCATGGAAGAGTGAAGTTGAAGCAAAGTGTGGACTATTTGTAGATAGGACAAAAATCAGTGATTATGATCTGGAAAAAGATCAATCCTAGAGCTCTATGGGAAAGCCTGGCAGATCTTTGTTTCCCCTCCATTAATTATACAGGCTTCCACAGGCTACAGCCTCCATCAGTCATTTCTTATTAAGTACTGTAAAGGATCTTGATGTAATTAAGTCCCTTTAAAAATCTTTACACTATTTACTTATTTACGGGTGGTGGGAATTGAACTCAGGGCTACATGCATGCTAGGCAAGCACTCTACCATAGAGCTATATCCCAGGCCTGGTACATTAGTCTGCACAAGGCCCTGATTTGAACCCTAAAGTAGGGTCATTAACTTCTTCTGATTTCAAAACTGAAATCATCACAGAGCCAAATGTTAATATATTTTCTTTTTCTGTTCCTCAGATTATTGCTTTTGCTTTAGAAGGAAAACGATCCAAAGTCACTAGGCGGCCAAAGGCCAGTGACTACCAACGTTTGAACCTAAAGGTAAGGAGCCAGGTCGATGGGAGGGCTGTGCAACCTCAGGTGGCACCCAGTTCTGGGAATGCCACTGCCAGTTCTGGGAATGCCACTTACTCACTTGACAAATAAACAAGCTTGCCCAGAAACATGATTTTTCTTCCTAAATTTCCACTCACATTAGTAGCAACACCAGCATCTGATAGTAATTCCATAGACTCAGACTTCTTTTGCAGTATGCCAGGTCTTCACAAACTTAATAAACATGAATTACCTTGAAAGCTGTAATAAAAGGCCAAATCTGGGTGTGGTGGCACACACCTTTAATCCCAGCACATAGGAGGCAGAGGCAGGTGGAGCTCTGAGTTTGAGGCAGCCTGGTCTGCATAATGAGTTCCAGGTCAAGCAAGACTAAATAGTGAGACCCTGTCTCAAAACAAATCAAGAGCTAAATCTGATTCATGTAAGTATGAGATAAAGCTTGTGTGTCTGCATTTCTAGGGAACACCAAATGCTGCTTTGCAGAGTTTAGGGAGCAAAGCAGTCGATAACAACTCTCTGAAAACAAATGAGCCCAGAAGATAGGCCTCAAGTGGTACTCTGAATCAGTACTGCATTCAAAATTTCGAGCTGAACCTCTTGAATGCCTCTGCCAGGGAGAGAAGCTTGTCTTCTATCTCTCGGTCCCAGGAGCTGAACCAGGCTCTCCTCACAGGTGGGACCTGTGTACTCACACCAGGTGGCTGCCAGCAGGCATAGTGCCTGCCTCATCCTATTTAGCAATAGAAAGGGCATTGGCAATGAACAGTTGGTGACCCAGATGTGAATTGTTCCCAGACTTTCTGCAGGACACAGTTCAATAAACACCAGCTGTAGAGTAAGCTGCTCAGTTCAAAGCATCATTTTAAAACTATTTTATTTTTATTAGTCTTATTTTATGTGTCTAAGTGTATTGCCTGAATGTATGTAAGTGGACCCATGTCGTGCAGTGCCCAAGGAGGTCAGAAGAGGGCATCAAGATCCCCTGGAACTGGAGTTACAGATAATTGTTAGCCACCATTTGGGTGCTGGGAACTGAACCTGGGTCATCTGCAAGAACAGCCAGTGCTCTTAGCTGCTAAGCCATCTCTCCAGCTTCTTTAAATTTTTATTTATTTCTTATGTGTATGAATGTTTTTCCTGTACGTATGAAAGTACACCCATGTCTCAGTGTATTGCCTGAATGCATGTAAGTGGACCCATGTTGTGCAGTGCCCAAGGAGGTCAGAAGAGGACATCGGATCCCCTGGAACTGAAAACAGAATCTCACTATAAAGCCCTATCTGTCCTGTAACTTACTATGTAGACCAGGCTGGCCTTGAAATCACAGACATCCACCTGCCTCTGCCTCCTGAGTCCTGGGAATAAAAGTGTATGTGCTAGCGTCAGAGGTGTGTATCACCACACCCAGCCTTTCCTTTTTAAAAAAGAAACCCAATGAGTTTGATTAAGGTTACTTAGAAGAGCATGGGGCATCTTATTAGTGGTTACCCACTGAAGAAAATGTCTCTTCCTCCTCCATCAACTGTTAACAGGTATGTGTGTGTGTTTGAGACAGGGTCTTTCACGATAGCCTAGAACTCTGTGTAGTCTAGATGGTAGGCTGGCCTCAAGTTCATAATCCTCCTGTCTCAGCTTCCCAAATGTTAAGATTACAGGCTTGAACCATCACATCCACATCAGCTAAATAAATCTTTCTAATATGTTCTATTTCAAACTAATGTGATTCATATGCTTTTATTTTTATTAATTGCTGTTTCATGGTGGGGGGGTCGGTTTGTCTTAATTCTGAATATTTCCCCTTGAATCTCAGTTCTCAAATCACAATATTGTGTTTTCCTCTGGAAAAGATGACATCACCAACAGATTGTGTTGCTCTCGTTTCAGCTTTGATTTTGTTTTATCTGCAAGAACCTTGTCCTCACTGCTGATTTGTTTCCGACTCAAGAGAAATGAAAAGTACTGTGACCCCCTCTGAGGTTTGGTGACAAGTCCAGACTGGCAGAGACGGGTTGCTTCAGGTTTTGCACCTGCACTTTGGTGACATTGTACTCCGGTGATATTTTATTTACTTTCGTGTTCCCTTTCGCTGGTATATTCCATCATCCTTTCTTCCTTCGAGTGTGAGTAGAGGAGATATGTGAAACATGAGCAAAGGGGACCCCAGCCCTGGGCAGCCTACACTGCTGACCATTCTCCCTTAGCCTTGACTCGGAAGTGAGCTTAGTCCTTCCAGTTCATCTTTGCAGCTCTAGAATATTGTGCAAGTAGAGGCGTTGTTTTAATGCCTGTTTGAAGGATTTGTGCCCTAGAAAAGATGTAGAAGATGGCAAAATGCTGACCAGCAGAGGGATAATTTGAACATGGAATTCTCTCTAGAGACCTCAGCAGCAAACCAAAACAGCAAGCTTAAAGACTGCTTTGTCATCATCAAGTCTGACCCATCTACATAAATTCTATGCATTTTTCTGGTATTTTATACCCAAGAAAAGGTGAATCAGCTTCATTTTGGTTGTACTAGCACAAAAAAGCTTGGGCCAGGCCTGTTGGCACATACCTTTAATCTCAGCACTTGGGAGGCAGAGGCAGGCAAATCTTTGTAAGTTTCAGGCCAGCCTGGTCTACATAGCAAGGTCTGGGCTAGAGACCCTGTCTCCAAAAACCACAACAAAAAGTGAGCTTGGGGTTTCTGGAAGTAAAGCCACTGTCCTATCAGATTTTTTAAAAATATGATAATTATCATTTAACAAGTGTGTTCTTTCATAGTCACGCTAAAAGGGGCTCCTTGGAAAAGGGCAGGCCTTGATTTGCTCAAGAAAATATGGAGAGATTTGGTCTGCACAAAACATGTTCTCCACAAACTCTATTTTGCCTTTATTGCCTAATATAGAGTCTTAACACACGTATACATACATACATACCCACACCTAAGAACTAAGTACACTCTGCACAGTTTACCTTAATCTAAGATGCTAAAGTGATTAGTAAAAGAATCTTTTCTCTCCCATGCTGGATCGTGAAACTTTAAGAACTCTAGTAGAGTCCCTGGGATAACTGAGGATAGTGTCTTGGACTACGCTGTGTCTGAAGTTTGACTCCAGTCTGTGCGGTCATGCCTGAAGAAGAGATTCTCATCTAATCTTAGGGACATGGAAAGAGTGTGGGAAAGGAGAGAAACTGGGTGAGTTCTGTGCTGTCAGAGTCCAGTTGGAAGAAGAACTCATCCTTGCGTCGTCTTGCACCGAGCTAATAGCACATAGGACCTGGAGTTAAGCTGCTATTCTTGGCAGGTAGCACTCTGGAGATAAGGACTGTGTGCTCCTCACTGGTCTTCTCTGTGCTGTACACAAGTCTTACATTACTTTTCTTCAGCCTGAAAAATCTTCTGAGGCCCCACCAGCTCTTCCTAAGACCTCTCTAGTTCTCCTATCTTCCCTTCCTTCCTCAGGCGTTCTGTTTGTGCCCATCTACATGAACACCTTCCTTCCCTCCAGCCTGCATACATGCATGATGCCAGATTTCCCTCACCCATGTCCTTCCTGTTAATCATTCACCATTCTGCTCTAATAAGTGTCCTTTCCATGGCCTTGCTGTGTGTTCTTTCCTGATGTTTACAGATTCACTTTGGTCCCTGTCTTTCTACTGTTTCTAATGGTCATTCACTTAACCAGATCACCAAATCCAAAGGTTCATCCCGAAGATTGCTCTTATACTTGATAGGATTCGGTGCCATGGGCCATGCGCACTGACATTCTCTTTGTGAGTGTCTCATAAACTGCTTTGTCTTACCCTATGCTGGTGGGGAGACGACCTCCAGAGTCAGGTCTCTGTTGCTTTGTCTGCCTCAGAAGTTCATCTATTCTTCATTCTCTCAGTGACTCCTAGCCTCATCTTTGGCCTACCTCTCAAGAACCCAGTCATACTATGTGCTAATAGCTCAGCTACATGCTGTTAGCACCACAATCTGAGTTTGTCCTCCAGCCCTCAAGCTCTCTTCTCACTTGCCCAATTTCTTTAATTACCTGAAAACTCCATACTGAAAATTACCATTTTTCTCAAGTCCTATCCAATTTTTAAAGAAAGTGTATCCAACTACAGCCTTTCCCTCTTTGCTTACTTCCCTTATCCCACACCCGCATCCATTGTACTTTTCTGTTCATTTTTTTTTTTTTTTTTCCTTTTTGAGACAGGGTCTCCCAGTAGCCCCGCCTGGAACTCACTTTGTAGACCAGGCTGGCCTCGAACTCACAGAGATCTGCCTGCCGCTGCCTCCCAAGTGCTGGGATTAAAGATGTGCGCCACCACGCCCAACCTGTTCAACTTTTTAATTTTCAGGATCCGCCTGAACTGATTCTCCTAACCCTTTTCTCAGGTCAGTTTGAAAAACAGTGACTTTTCTGCGTTGTGTGCCCTGGTCTGGAGCTTCTTTCTGAAGCTGTAGATGCTTTAGTATTCTGGACTCTGCAGAAGGATTCCTTCTGGGCTTTTCCTTCCTCAGGTTCCCTCTCGCCTATGCGCCCATCGTGTCCTCCACATTCCAACTTCCTGGGTTGTCCAGTGGTTAGGTTTTCCCTTTTCTCTCAGCTTACCCAAATCTACCTTGTTTTGCAGGGCTCAGCCCACATTCCATGTTACTTCCTAGCTCCCCCATTCTATTCTGATAGCTCTTTTTTTTTTTTTTTTTTTTTCCGGTCTTTCTGAGATAGGGTCTCCCTATAGCTCCAGCTGGCCTAGGACTTGCTACGTAGACCAGGCTGGCCTTGAACTCACAGAGTTCTGCCTGCCTCTGCCTCCCAGTGCTGGGATTAAAGGTGTGAGCCACCACAGCCAGCTTTCTGATAGCTCTTAATGCTACCCCTGTCCATTTGGGAACTTAGCATGACAGAGGACTTAATATCTGAAGTTGCTCTGATCTCACCAAGAAATTAAGCTCTGAGAGAGAGTGCTTGACATTGTTTACATCTGCCAAGTGTTGTGACAGCCCTCGGAGACATCGGGGGTCTTGGAGGATTTTTCTTTCCATGACATCTTGCTGAGATAGAAATGAGGGCGCACACAGCTCTTTCTGGCTACTGGTTGCTGAGATCTTGACTTGATGGGCAGGAAGAAAGGTTGGTTTCAGGAACCAAAAGATGGATAGCAAGTGGACACATAAGTATTGTCACAGAGTTCATGAAGCGTAACCCTTTGGGCTACTGAGAAATATTTGTGCTGGCAAAGTACAGTGGAATTTGTTTCACTTGAGAAATGGCACTGGAGTCAGTTCCCACCAAAGGAAAACTCATTTTTAAGATGCTTGTTGTTTTGAAGCGAAAATACATGAAGCATGTTTGCCTAGAATGTGGATGGGGATGAACCAGGTGAGGCGTCCGAGCTAGGGGCTGGGCTGGCATGTAGGAAGCACACAGAGCCTCGGGAAGCACCCCCTAGACTGTTGCAGGTTTGCTTTCTTGCCCATCTTTTGTCTAAAGGGCGATTGGTTAAGGAGAGTCTGTTTCAGTCCTAGCTTATTAATAGCTTCACTGCTGTGAATTACTGAGGATATTGTTTATAGAAGCTACTTCAGGTTTGGGAGTCAGAGCAGAACAACTTAGAAAGACCTGACAGACTGACATGTTTCTCCCTAGTGATAGCTTTTGATGAGGTGTTTGGTGATAGAATTAGTACCCTTTGGAATTTCCCCAGCGGCCATGCTTTTTCTTCCCCAGGGTAGTCTGATACATATGTTGGAGTGTGCTGTGCTTTTGCACATGCCCTGGACTGCATGAACTTGGAGTGGGGTATGCTAGCCACAAGGTCCTATGGCTTTGCAGGCTGTCTTCTGAAAACCCTTACTAGGAAGGTTGCATTTGATATTGCCTTGCTAAAGAATGCTTTAAAGATGTTTTGAGGTTTAATAACTACATCCAGAGCAAGGGTGACTCAGTTCATTTAGCACCTCAATTGAAATGTGAATCTCCTAAATATTTCAGCTTAGAAACTCCTCTGTAGGGTCTGGGCATCAGCTGGCATAGCATGTCAAATTGCCCACAAAGCTGGCACCCTCACACTCTGATAGGAATTTAATTCACCAGACTGCTGTTAAGTAAATGATTGAATGTTGAAATTGTTAGTCTTGTTTTGTTGAAATTGTTAGCCTTGTTTTGTCCCAATTAGTAGATTGCCACTGTTAGCCATGGAGTCCTATAGTTTCACCTTTTTTGTAACAAATCTAATTGCTTAATTTTATTTTTTTAAAGCTTATTATTGTTTAATGACACATATTTTTTCAGTATATTTGAGCTTCTGTACATGCCATCTCAATGTAGTTTTATGCCACTAGTGAACAGAAACCAAAATAAATTTCAGATATTAAAGCAATGAAACCACTACATGGTACTAATACTATATTAAAATGGACTGATAAGACTGGTACCTCAGTCTGACCTAAGTGAAAGGTGTGACTTCTGTTCATACAGGTTGAGCATCCCTAATCTGAGATCCAAAAAAATACTCTAAAACCCAAAACAAGCTATAAGTGACAACATGAACTCATGACAGATGTAGAATGTGCACAATTACTCAAAATACTACATAAGATTATTCTTGGTCATGTATATGAAACATAAATGAATTTGGGGTTTAGACCTGGGTCCCATTCCCCCAAGATATCTCATTATGTATATGTAAATATTCCAAAATCTGAAGGAAACCAAGCAAACACAGAAGCATTCTGATTCCAAGCAGTTCAGAAAACCAGCACTCAATTTTTAATGTGCCAGCAAACCACAAAGCTATCCCTAGGCTCTGTGCAGAATTAGTTGGCTGGCTGTCTGTGTTCCAATCCACTTCTCTACCCCCATCCTCCTCTCCAGGTTGGTTTTCTAGTCAAGGAGGTAGCTAGGCTGCTCTATGGGGCTTTCTGCTGCCTCGATAACATCCTCTGCTATGTCTTTGGCCTGGAATGTTCCTTCTGCCTGCTTCAGCCGTGAGGCCTGGCCAGTCTGTCCTGAGTACTAACATCATCTCCTGGCATATGGAAAGAGGACAAGGCTTGGGGCCAAGGTATTGAGTTCCTTGAAGGCGACTTGGCACTGGCACTTTGAGAAGAGTTGCCACCCCAATCATAAGCTAAACCCGGGGCTTGGTTATATTTTGAATTTTCTTCAACCATGCTGAGCCTGCCACAGGCATTTTCCATCCAAGAGACTGGAGAACTGTTAAACCTATGGAACTACAATAAGACCATGTCTGGGTTTTGGCTAAACTCTCACTAAGTTGTCCTTCCCTTGACAGTGTAGAACTCCAGCTCAGCACTGAATGGATGAGAGCGAAAAGCTTCAGGGTAGGACTGGGCCAACCTGCTCTACTAGCCAACACCTTCAAGGGTTCTGCACAACTGAACCTTGGTCAGAGTTAGGAGGGGTGGAGTACTGAGGTGGAGAACAGATGGGAGGATTCTTCCATTATGAGCCATCAAGGCTGTGCAGCCCAGGCTAGACCTTTAGTAGAAATGCCAGGTGCAAAAGGAGAGAACTCCAGGTAAGAACTCTGATTTATATAGATCTCAAAAAACTGGTTTATTTGTACAAGGAACTACTGCAAGAGGAGGCCTTAAGGGAAGTTGCAATTCCTCTGACTCATCCCTGGACAGACTATTTTTGCTTCTTCTGTTCCTGGATCTTTGAGCCAAGAGCCTTCAGGTCTGAGTACAAGTTTCGCTTCAGGATGGCACTGCTGCACAGCAGAGCCCCTTGCATGGCCCCCATCAGCCCACAGGTGAAGATATCTTGGCCTAGAAGGCAAGAGCAGAGACCTATGAATGTCTACCCACATGGGAATGGCAGGGCAAGGCTCCCTGTCCGTCCTTCAATGTCAGGGTTACTCAGAGATGCTTCAGATCAGGGCCAGGACCACATCCAGCTTCTGGTCTGGGAACTGCAGGGAGTGGCAAGGTCTGCGGATGGAAACAGCGGTCCAGGGGGCCCAGATCCTGCAAAGCAGGGTAATGTACCTGTCAGGTAGAGGTTGGGGATAGGAGTTTGGGCCCTGATGGAGGCCATTGCATGAGGATGGAGGCGATTCAAGTCATGGTCAGCCCCATAGCTGGCACCTCGGGGAGCAGCCAGATAGTGCTGGTTGGTCAGTGGGGATCCTCCGGTCACACTCTCCACCTGAGGAGGCAAAAAAGCAGACCCAGGGTGGATGTGGGAATTTGCAAGAGTCCCATCTTTTCCTCCCTGAATGAGCAAGTGCCAATATGGGTGGGTGCCTTGTCCATCCTTGGGTCTCCTAGGGAAAGGACAAAAATGGCCTGTCACCTTTACTGCTGCATGCTAGCTCCTACCTTGCCCTCCAGCTGTGGGAACAGTTTCATGACCACTGCCATAGATGCTTCCACGAAGGTGTTTTTGAGGGTCTCATAGTCAACACCCCGCTTGCCCTTTGGCTTCTCCTCCCACTCTTCAAACCACTCAAAGGCCGTGGGCACCAGCACAGTCATTGTGGAGCGATCTGTGAGTACAAGGCCATGTCTTACCACTGCCTGGCCCTGCCCTGCCCCACCCCAGCCCCCATACCCAGTTCTCCTGGACCTTAAGCCCTACCTGGGAATCGTTCCTCCCAGGCCGGGTCCTTGGTTGATGAGGAGGAGATGAAGAGAAGAGGAATGTGTTGTGCAGCCTTTGCCTTAGGCATGGAGACATAGCGCTCCATCCTGTGGGTGAGGGGTGTGTGGTTGTCTTTTTCCTCAAAGCCACCAGCACCACCCAAAGGACAGTTATCCCAGGGACTCCCCACGGGGTGAAGTAGAGGCACAACTTCAGTGTGGAAAAACCTTTGTGGGAATCCTCCCAAGCCACGTCCTAATGCTTATAACCAGAACCATACCAAAGGTGGAAGCTGAGGCCTCAAGGGTTGAGGCCCTGTGCCAGTACTCTTCTTCACCCCCTCACATCTTTTAAAAAAAATATTTTTATGTGTATGAGTGTTTTGCCTGCATGAATGTACACCATGTACATGCAATGCCTAAAGAAGACAGAAGTGGATCCTCTGAATCAGGAGTTACAGGCAGTTGTTAGTTACCATGTGGGTGCTGGAAATTGAACCTGGGTCCTTTGGAAGATATCCCCTGGGCCACCTCTCCAGCCACATCTTACGCTTTGTCCATGTCCGTGTCAAAATAAACATAGTAATTGGTGGACTGCAGCTGTAGGTCCTCCTTGGTGCCTTGAAGGCAGATGAACACCAACAGCACTCCCATGCCAGGCCGCACCATACTCAGCTGCTGCTGTACACCTACAGATGGAGCCAGTGAGGTCAACACTGAGGCAGCTGTAGCCAGCCAGCCACTGCCTGCCTGCCCGGCAGCCTCAGAATGCTCCATCATCTCATCCACAACTGCCAGCAGGAACAGAGTCCTGCCACTTTCACAGCTCTTTTCACGTGATCCTGGCAGGGACCTGCTCTTCTCTCTCCTGGCTAGGTCAGACATAGCCTCAAATTCCTCCCCTTCCAACTCTACCACCTCTGCTCTGAGAGCACCTTTAGTCACAGGTCAGAGGGATGCCCAAGAACAGGGAAAACATCACCTAGGTGGAGTTTCAGCTTCCAGAGAGGAAATGTCAAGAACTTGGAAGACCAGTCTCTTACCTGGCAGACAGCGGGCACTCTCTGGCAGTAAGCGCTGGTAGGTATTGAACACTCCTGCACTGGAGATGACAATGGGGCAATAGATGTTCACCAGTTCTTGTCCCTTCTTCACACTGACACCTGAAGACACAAGAGTTTGGCTGAGGTTCTATGAGTTCTAGGAAGAGGGCCCAAAACCTCTTCCAGCTCTCAAGAGTTGGGGCTGTAGCTCAGTGGCATAGCACTTGTCTAGCACATGTGAGGTGCTGTGTTCAATTCCCATTTAAAAAAAAAAAATCCAGGAAAGAGAAAACCCACTTGGAGCATTTATTGTAGCCATGGTATGGTGGCATATGCCTGTGATTCTAGAATTTGGGAACTAGAAGCAGGATGATCAGGAGTTCTAAAACCATTCTCATCTAGTGAATTCAAGGTCTTTAAAAGCCTGTCTTAAAGCATTAGCAGAGCCATATTTACCCAGCTGTCTCCTAGCTTAGGCCCCTTTTCAGACCTAGAATGCCACTGGTCAGAGCTGGCCCCAGGCACACTCAAACAGGGAAGCATCTTCACACTCAGCCCTCCTTACACAGGCTTCTATGCTTACCTTCCCTAGCTCTTTCCACCCACTCGTGACTTGTTTATCTTTAGCCACACCCTGCCGTCCCCAGAGAACACAAGTCCCAGGCCTTCCTATGCTATTGAGTTCTATGTCTAAAATATTCCCCAATGATGAATCAACCTTCATGAAACTCCAAAGTTGCTGAAGCCTTCTGTGCATCCAACCCCATCTCTGGCCACTCACAAAACTATTACCTGACCTTTCATAAAATGGGTAGGTGGGGTTTTTTGTTGTGACTGTTTCTACATTTACTTATTTGGGGGGTTGGGCAGCATGTGGAGGTCAGAGAGCAACTTGGAGCCAATTCTCTTCTTCCACCATGTGGGTCCTGGGGATTAAATTTAAGCCATCAGGTTTGGCAGTAGGTGTCTTTTTACTGAGCCATCTTGCCAACCCCTAAAAGAGTAATTTTGATGTCAGGCCCTGAGGTATCTTGCAGGCCCAGATTCTAGCCTCTTATCCTGAATGAGGAAGCTGGTTCATCTATATATAGGGAGACCCCAGGTCACTCCCACCCCAGTCCAGTGACCCCAAAGCAAAGTGCAGGGCTCTTACCACACGCTTTCCCAGCCGAGTCCAGCAACACACTGTGCACAGGGGCCCTGGTGAGTACAGCCCCCCCAGCCCGCTGAATCACAGGAATGGTGTGGAAGGCGATCTCACTAGCACCCCCTCGGGGATAATATGCCCCCTGTATGTAGTGGTCAACCAGCAAAGCATGCATGGCGAAGGTGGTGTGGCTGGGGGTCACACCTACAGAAGGAAGAAGAGAAGGGAAGAAATGATGAACAGGCACTCGGCACCATTCAGAAAGAAACAAGGCTTCCTGTGGGAGACCACACAAGTCCATCCCAGGAACCACATGTTCCCCAAGGCCCAGGGCCACTGAAGGAGCTGTCTTCACCGCACATGGGGTACCTTACAGACACTGGGCTCGGTAGGAATAGAAATATACTCCCTGGCCAGGCATGGTAGTACACACCTTTAATCCCAGAACTAAGGAAGTATACTCCTTGAAAACCACCAGGCTGCCAAGACCAAGGTGGGCACTGACTGTTGGCTGAAGAGAAAAATCACTTGAGCAGGGTATGATAGTGCATGCCTATACTCTCAACACGGATGGCTAAAGCAGGAAGAGGTGGTTTTAAAGCCAGAGTAGGCTACATAGAGAGTTCCAGACCAGCCTGAAGACTAAGTGAGAATGTATTATAGAAGAGAGAGAGAGAATATGAGAACTCTTACTGGGGATTTAGCTCAGTTGGTAGACTACTTGCCTAACACGCACACAGCCCTGGGTTTGATCTCTAGCCTCACATAAATCAGATGTAGTAGTGCATGCCTGCAATCCCAGCACTAGGGAGGTGGAGGTAAAAGGAGCAGAAATTCAAGGTCATCCTTGACTGCATAGTGAATTCAAAGCTAACCTGGGATACATGAGACCCTGTCTGGAAAAAGGAAAAAAATTAAAATAAGAAAAAGAAAAGGGAAGGAAAAAGAATAAATCTTCTAGATACTGGAATTTCTACCGGAATCCAGCCAGGGTCAGACTGCTCATGCCTTATCCACAGCTCTTTTCTGCCCCTTCAATCAGCGAGGCAGACTGGGGAAGAAAGAGCTCGGAAGGCAGCACCTCATAAGAGCCTAGGACAAGCAGGTACATACCGTAGGTGGGGAAGATGTAGCTGAGCACAGCCTGGAGCTCAGAGGAGGCCCCCAGCTGCCGGAGGACTTCAGACAGGCTTTGGATGGATGCACGCAAGAATGGAGAGAAACGAGTCAGCAGCCCACTCTTGCTGAGGAGCCGAGCCAGGGGCAATGGGAGGAACTTCAGCAGAATGGCATGAGAGGCTCCTCTGGCTACCACCTGTGAAAAAAGTGTAAGGAGGGGGAACCATTGCCAACAGTCACCATTCCAATGGCCTGCACTGGCCTGCAGACCCAGCAACACTTACTCATACCTGAACTTTACAGAATCTGGACTTTAGAAAGTTGTTTTTAAAAAGCCAGGCATGGTGGCTCAGGCCTGTGATCCCATTACTGGAGAGGCTAAAGCAGGAGGAATGCCATGAGTTTGAGGCTGAGCTGGGCTATACAGTGACAAGCCAGCCAGAGCTATAAAAGCAAGACTGTGTCTCACTAAAGAAAAAAAAAATTTTTTTTTGAGACAGTGTCCCACATATCCCAGGCTGACCTCAAACTTGCTATGTGATGATGTCCTTGAATTCTTAATCCTGCCTCTACCCCCAAGTGCTGGGAATATGGAAAAAGAGATGTGTGCCACTATGCCCACTTTATGGGATTCTTGGAATCAAATTCAGGACTTTGTTCATACTAGCCAACTGAGCTTCATCCCCAACCCTAAAATTCCTTTTCAAAAACCTAAGTCTGGAAGCTAGGCGTCATAGCAGCACTTGGGAGGCAGAGGCAGGTGGATCTCAGTGAGTGTGAGGCCAGCTAGGCTACACAGACCCTATCTCAAACCAAACAACAAAGGCCCTAATCTAGTTCATCTCAGAGGATATCTGACTTCCTGGAAGCCTGCCTATCCAGGGAGGAGAGCAGGGTGCCCTCCAGAGGCCAGAGTGAGGGTGGCGGCTGGAGAGCCAGGCAGAGCAGAGGCAGACTGCAATGTGCACTGAATTCAGAACAGATGTGACGATTCCTTCCTGCCTCCCCAACTCCAGTCCCTCCCCACCTCCAGTCCCTCCCCACCAGTCACTTGACCAATGATAAAGCTAAGTCTGGTTGGGAATAAATGGGGATCCCTAGCATTGTGCATGTTACCTTAACCAGCTGCATATACTTGTCAATGACTGCTGCTTCTTTAGGAAACTTCTCCTTAAGGCCTTGAATGTATGCTTTCCTCCCACTGTACATGGGGAACTCCTTTCGGCCACTGGGTCCCTCTAGTATCATCAGGTCAAAAGGGGAGGCCATGGGAGCCCATTCCAGCTGCCCTTCAGTGATCTGGTCCAAGATAAAACGGCTAATGTTGCCCTCCTGCATGCGTCCAACATAATGGATTCCTGTTGGGAGGCAGCAAAAAAAGGAGACACGGGGACAAGGAGATTGGGCCCTGGAAAGGTGCCCAAAGGAAGAAGTTGCCCTACTTGGCCGAGTCCATGTCTTTTTGAGACACGGTCTCCCAGCTGTAGCCCCAGCTGACCTGTAACTATGTAGACCAGGCTGGCCTCGGACTGCCTGCCTCTGCCCCCCATGCACCACCACACCTGGCTGTGAACCCTTTCTATAGGAACATGCCCAAACAGATACCACCTGATCCTTGTCCAATTTGACCATCAGCAAGGGATCGAGATGCCCAGAGAGAAGATAGGACCTCTAAACATTAGAAATGCCCAATCACCCTACAGTGGGTGCTCCTAGCCTCCTGAAGACAGAGTTATGTTCCCAACCTTTTCCACAAAAGCCTCACCAGTGTCAAATTCAAGGCCATTTTTTCCAAAGGTATGACAACAGCCTCCTGCCTTGGTATGTTGTTCCAACACCAGGACTCTCTTGCCAGCTTTAGACAGAATCACAGCTGCAGCCAGGCCTCCGATGCCACTACCAATCACCACAGCATCCAGCTTCTCTGGTACGCAGCTGACTGAAAAAGCTGTAATGAAGGGAGGAGGTAGATGGTGGACTTCTCAGACAGGAGCAGGGAAGTAGCAAAGTCAGAGAAGCCAAAGAGGACTTCTCTAGTTCATACTGTGTAAGAAACCTCTAGGGCAAGCTGGGCATGTTGGTAGATGCCTGTAATCCAAGGGCTGGAGAGATAGTGTACAATTAAAAGCACTGGTTGCTCTTGCAGAGGACCCAGGTTCAGTTCCCAGCACCAACATGGAAGTGGCTAACAACCATCCTTAACTCCAGTTCCAGGGGATGGCAATGGTACAGATGTTGTCGTCTAAGTTCAGAGAGCAAGAGAAAAAAAACCAAGGAAGTGGAGGGGGGCTGGGTGGTGGCTCAGGACACTGTCTATGCACAAGCTGGGTTTCTTTGTAAGATGCAAGGGTGTGCAGGTGCCAATGACGATAGGGATATAGTGGATCTTCCAGACTGATGAAAAGGCTTGCCTGAAGCTGTTTCTCAGAAATCAGCACCAAACTGGTAAAATGAGGAAGTCTGGTGTGGGAAGACACCTAAACAGATGATCAAGCTGATCAACTGATTCATTTTCTTTCTTTCTTTCTTTCTTTCTTTCTTTCTTTCTTTCTTTCTTTCTTTCTTTCTTTCTCTTTCTCTCTCTCTCTCTCTCTCTCTCTGTGTCTCTCTGTCTCCCTCTCTCTCTCTGTCCCCTCTCTCCTTCTTTCCTTTTTTTGTTATATACTATAACAAAATAGTGAGACCCTGTCTCACTATATAGCCCTGGATGACCTAGTACTTGCTACGTAGACCAGGATGGCCTCAGACTCACAGAGATCACCTAACTCTGCCTCTGGAGTGCTGGAATTAAAACATGCAGCACCATGCCCAGACTCCCTTAAAAAAAAAAAAAATTGATAGCTTACAGAGTACCAAGTTCCTTATGGCATTTTCATACATACTTAGTTTTTGCTGACTCTCTCCCTTACCCCCTTTCTGTCCCCCACCCCCAGTATTCCCCCTTCCGCTTTCATATCATTTGTGATCTATTACTCTCCTAATCCCATAAAGCTTTTTTTTTTTTTCTCCTCTTAAGGGTCCTTTTCCAGTTCCCTGGTTTCCACTGTTTTGGTTTTTGGTTTGGGGTTTTGTTGTTGTTGTTTGAGAGAGGGTCTCCCTGTAGCTGGCCTGGAACTCAATATGTAAACCAGGCTGGCCGTGAACTCACAGAGATCTGCCTGTCTCTTCTGTCTCTTCCTTCTGAGATCTGGGACTGAATGGGACTGAAGGCATGCACTACCACTTAGGGCTTTTTTTTTTTTGAGACAAGGGTTTGCTATGTAGCTCCTGGCTGGCTTGGATCTTACTATACAAACCAGGCAGGCCTTGAACTTGTGACAATCCTGCTCCTTCTTCCTCCCCAGCACTGAGATTACAGGTATATGCCACCACTTCCAGCAAGATTTGTTCTTTAAAAACTACTGCCCAAGCTCACACCTGTAATTCTGCCTAAGTAAAGGCACAAAAATCACTGTGAATTTCCCACACCCTTGAGCTTGCATGAAAATTGGTTCTAGTACTAAGTAGAAGTTCTCTTACCCGGTGAGCTGAACAGATTCTAAATAGCAGGGCCGGGACAAGGCTACTCTAGTATCTTGGCGTGCCAAGGACAACGTCCACGCCCAAGACTTCAGGGACATAGGGCACTAAAACAGGGCGCCTTTATGTGCAAGTAAGTTTTCCCAGTACTTAGAGGGACACAGAGGTCCATGCCAGACTGCTGCTTGGCCCTGCTAGAAAGAGCAGGATGAAAACCTGAGGAGGCCTTGGCGCAGTCGCGGACCCCAGGGTCTTTCCCGCTGACCTTGTTTGAGAACCTTTTTCCTGGCCTCCTGATCCGTCACCAGGGGCGCAGGTGGTCGCTTGACATCTTCAAAGAAGGGGTTCGGGGAGCTTCCTGCGAAGAGCTCCACGTAAACTCTGCGGAGCACCGCCAGCAGCAGCACCGCCAGCAGCAGCAGCGTTATCCACATCTTGCTGCCTGTGTTCACCGAGGCGTGTCCTCGGGGCTTGAGCTCAGAGCTCAGCTTTTATGGATGAGTTTCCGCCGGGTTAGCTCAACCCTTGGGATCAGGAAGGCAGAAGCAACTTTGACCTACGCCTGCTGGTTAAGATTGTCCATCATGGCTCTCCATAAACCTTTGCTGCTCGGAGTTTCCATTGCCTGCTGGGAAGTGTAGTTCAAGAACGGGATAGGCGCACAGGAGGCGCTCCACACCTGCGCGATGAGGCCCGCCTGGGATGCGGAACCCACACCCGAACGCAGAGGACGCGTCCGGTGAACCCCGGGTGGGGGTGAGGCGGGGGAGTTGTGGAGGGTGGGGGCAGTCTGACGAGGGACGATGTCAGGTGGAAGTGGTCACTGGAGGGCCACTCAATGCTAAAGTTGCAGGACTGAAAAAGAATCCGTTCTGGGAAACAGACGGAAGACCTGGGTTCTGGTCCCAGTTCTGAGATGGGCTCGCTGAAACCTCTGAGGCAATTGCTTTTTTACTTTTCTCTTCCAAGCAGTGAGAAAGTTTGTGTCCCCGAGTACCCACAGAACCTCTGCCTGCCTGGGTATTTTGATGAGACCGCTGTTGAGATCTGCGCTGGCAGCCCAGGGGTCCTGTGTCAGTGTCCCAGAGCTTTGACCCAGGAACCCTGCCCCCCCCCCACGACGTTGCCCCTAATCGCAGTCATTCTGTGAGAGCCACGGGGGCAGAGTCGCCTAGGGAGGGTCAAGCCTTATGGAAGACTCAGCCAGGGATTATCTTATCTTTGTGAGCATTTGTATTTAAGGATAAACCACCTTCTAAATGACCTTTTTGGAGGGTTTAAGTTCCAGCAAACAGTCAAAAAATCACACCCTGTTAATGTTGCCCCTTGTGGAAAGTAGGTTCACAAAAAATACTTGATTTGAAAAGAATCTGCTTTTATAGGAAGCCCATTTCCTCAAGGCCAACTATCAGGAACATGCTTATTATCAGTAGGAGTGACTTTATAACTGAGTATTTTGTCCCTGTTGCAGGCCCCAGCTGTGCTCCAGCCCAATGTGTAAAGCTGGTCATGCCTCTATGCTACTTGGTTCATTTCATGCAGAGTAACAGAAGAGCCTTCCTGAGATTGCTGCTGCCACTACCTACCTGTCACCCTGCCAGGTTGGCTGATGTGTTTTTTCATTCTTTGCTGCCATTGGGCCAAGATGGGAGGAAGAAAGGAAAAGAGGCAGATGCTGAGATTCCAGGGAGAGAAGGCTAGCTCCTTGGAGAGTGGGGGTACAAGTGAGGGAGGTACCACTGTTTCCCCTCGATCACAATGAGCCAGTTGTCCAGCCCAAAAGCCAGGTGGTACCCTTCCTCTCAGTGTTAAAACCTTCAGTTTGTTGCTGACAGCCAGTTTTTAAGGATTCAGAGCACAGCTCCAAGTAGAGAGCTGACCTCATGGAGAGGCCACCCTCCTTCCTTCGTTACCTGAGTGAGAAGTATGGTTGTCAGTTGTATGAGAGCCATCTGCACTCTTTTTCCCTCGACACTAAGGACTGAACCCAGTGCTGGACCACTAAGCTACCCCACCTCCCTTGCCCATTTTATCTTTCTGGTGTGTGTGTGTGTGTGTGTGTGTGTGTGTGGTGTGTGGTGTGTGTGTGTGGTGTGTGTGTGTGTGTGTGGTGTGTGTGTGGCGTGTGTGGTGTGTGTGTGTGTGGTGTGTAGGTGTGTGTGTGGCATGCGTGGTGTGTGGTGTGTGTGGGGTGTGTGTGTGTGTGTGTGGTGTGCGGTGTGTGTGGTGTGTGTGTGTGTGGTATGTGTGTGTGTGGTGTGTGTGGTATGTGGTATGTGTGTGTGTGTGTGTGTGTGTGTGTGTACCTATATACATACAGAAGTCCGAGGAGAACTGTTGGGTGCCCTGCTGTATGTATCAGTCTCTGCCTTATTCCCTTGCAACAGGAATTCACACTGAACCTGGAGCTAAGCTAAGCAGCCAGCAAGCCCCTGTAAGCCTCCTGTCTCCACCCCCTGGGTATTGGCATTATAAGCATGTGCATGTGCATGCCCAGGTTTTTTATGTGGTTGCTGAGGATTCAAACCCAAGTTCTCATGCATGCACAGGACATTCTTTCTTACTTGACTGTCTTCGCAGCCCTTTGTTTGTTTGTTTGTTTGTTTGTTTGTTTGTTTTTGACACAACAGCCTTGCTATGTCAGGCTGACCTGGAACACCCTGTGTAAATCAGACTGGCCTCAAACTTGCAGTGATCCTCCTGCCTCTGCTTCTTAAAGTGATGGGATTTTAGGTATGCACCACAATGCTGAGTATGGCTTCTAGTTTTTTTTCATTTGCAGTGTTGGGGTCCCACACATAGTAAGCAATAATAGCTCTACCACTGATCTGTACCCTTAGCCTCATGTGTCTTGTCTTGACCCCCACACATAGATCTCTGCCACTAAGGCTCTTGGGAAACTCCTATGAGGCATTTTGATCCAAATTTTTATGTGATAGGTATCTATGAGGTCTAGTTCCCTTGTAATTAAGGCATGATCTTTATCCAGCCCTTTTCCTGAGGCAGGCCCCATAAGATGAAAGACCACTTAGGCTGGAGTTCTGGGCTTGGTGTCATTACACACTTGTTATCCCAATACTTGGGAAGTAGAAGCAAGCCTCAGCTACATATCAAGTGTGAAGGCAGCCTCAGCTATATGAGACCCTGTCTCAAAAACAGAAAAACAAAACAAAACAGAAATCCAGAGAAATAGGGAGATGGTTCAGTTGGTAAAGTGCCTTCAGGGGCCTGAGTTTGATCTCCAGAACTGATGTATAAAAGCTAGGCATTATGGAATGCACTTATAATCTCAATACTAGGAGGCAGAAACAGGCCCTCCAAGCCTGCAGAGATTACTTGGCAAGTTCCAAGAGAAGGAGCGATCCTATCTCAAATAAATAAATAATAAATAAATAAATAAATAAATAATAAATAAATAAGGTACCTAAGGAACAATAGCTGAGATTGCCCTATGACCGTCGCATGCACAAACTCACACGTACATAATCTGTGTACATGTACATACACACAGAGTGGGCCAACTTGTCTAGGCAGCTCCCAGTATACAGTATTAGTGAAAACTAGAGAAGGTTAGGACATTGTGTTGCATTTAGAGTTTCTATCCCCCAAGGAACCAGTTCTAGCATTTTAATACCCCAGCTCCAGCCTATGGCTAGGACCTGAATAAAACTGATCTCTATACCCATCAATTAGACTCACCTCTTTGATAAACTCACCCAAGTCCTGGTAACTTCACGACCAGAGACAGACTCCACCACTTAGAATAATGCCACTGCCTTCTAAACACTGAAAATATAACCCCAGCCCCCTGCATGGTCCCTGTCATCCAGTGGTGTGGGCAATAAGCAGTGGACATCTGGCTAACATAGCTTGTTTATTCATAATAAATTCACAATTGCGTGAAGATTTTCAAAGTCTGTTTTTACCCCCCAAATAGAGGCATAACTGAATGATGAAACCAGTTTTTCTTTTCTTTTTCTTTTTCCAGAGCTGAGGCTTCACAGTCCCCAGGGACCCCTTTCAGACACAAAAAAAATCTCCTGCACCCTGGTGATGGCACAAAGGGACTGTTTTCTTTCTCTTCATCTACATGACTGTCAAGAAGGAAGGAGGTGGAGGTAGAGCAGTTGGACCTCTGACTCTCTTGGTAGCTTCAGACCTCAGACCTTATCAAACCCCTTTCAGAGCCCAAGGACGAAGCTTACCTGAACCAGTGCTCTTGAGTCATGAGTGAAAAAATTTGCTCCTTCCATGCTGAGAAAGAATTAGGAGATGGACAGGTAAGCACTCCTATTTGAGAAAGAAGGTATTGGTTTGAGATACGTTGTTAATAAAGAGATAGAGAATGAGGAATTTTAGAAATATTTAGGGAAAACCCTCATTATAGCTCTTTGTTCTATTAAAGAAGATTCTAAATTGAAGGTGTAGATCAGTAGTAAAGCGCTTGCCTAGCTTGCATGCAGCTCTGGGTTCGATCTCCAGGAGTGGGGGGAGGGCTACATGGTTTTCTAAGTGGCTTTGTTTTGTTCTGGTTGGTTAGGGATGGCGAGAATTTCAATGTGAAATCCCCTAAGAAACCTCTTTTTCATCCACTCGCTTCAGTTTCCGTACTGCCCTCCTCCTTGTCAAGTGCTGGCTTTGTCCCAATCATCCCCAGGCCTCTTGGTTCAATATAGTATATGTCTACATGAGCCTGGCAGCTAACCCTACACTCTTGACCTTCCACACTGTCTTGCTGGCCAGAAATGGAATTTAGTGACCAGAATAAGGACAAAGCACTTGTTTGGGGACTCCAGAAAGGTTCTCCTCATGGTCAGAAAAAGTGAACTGCTCTTCCAAAGAGAATTCTCTGGAGGGAGCTAAACTGTGGAGGGAACAGGATGAGATGAATCCTGAATATGTAGACCCTTGTAAGGAGTTGCCTTTTTAAAATATTTATTATTTTTATTTTATGTATGTGAGTGTATTGCCTCCATGCATCTAAGTGCACCCATGTCATGCAATGCTCAAGGAGGTCAGAAGAGAGTGTTGGATTCCACTGGAACTGGAATTATGGATGCTTGTTAGCTGTCATGTGGATGCTGGGAATTGATCTCAGGTCCACTGCAAGAGCAACCACTGCTCTTAACCACTGAGTCATCTCTCCAGCCCCATAAGGAATTGTTCATAAAGCATGAAGAATTACTAAATATTATTGAGCTCAAATTTCAATAAAAACTGAAGACATATTTTGTGTCTTGTACTATGCTAGTTGTTATGGGAAATATTGAACACATACAAGGTCCCTATGTAAACTTTTGCAGAGAAGTTTGTGCTGCATGCAGGGCTATAAGACTTAAAGAGGGAGCTGGAGAGATGGTTCAGAGATTAAGAGTACTTGATCTTCCAGAGGACCCAAGATCAGTTCCCCATATCTGTGTCAGGAAGCTTACAGCTAGCTGTAACTCAGCTCCAGGGGAGCCAGTGCCGTCTTCTGGCCACCACGGCATCTATACATGTGGCATATACTCACACAGACACTCACATATACTTAATAAATAAAATATTTTTTAAAAATCATTACAAAAAGCCGGGTGTGCTGGTGCGTACCTGTAGTCCCAGCACTTGGGAGGCAGAGGCAGGCGGATCTCTCTGAGTTCAAGGCCAGCCTGGTCTACATAGTGAGTTCCAGGTCAGCTGGAGCTACAGGGAGACCCTGTCTCAAAAAGACCAATAAAATAAATAAATACGTACATAAATAAATAAATAAAAATCATTAAATAAAAAAAGACTTAAGCCAGGCACAGTGGCACATATCTTTAATCCCAGCCCTCAAGAGACCTCAGAGGTAGGCTTATGTCTGTGAGATTGAGGCCAGCCTGGTCTACATAGCAAGTTCTAGGGACTGTAGGGAGACTCTGTCTTTGAAAAAAAAAAAAAATACTGAAGAGATTAGACCATTATAACTCCAGGTGGAAAGATAGACCACTGAAGAATATGGAACTGGTGTTAAAGGGATCAGAGGACACAGACTATGCTGGAAGAAATCTGTATATATGAAGGGTTAGAGGTGAGGTAAGGTGTTATAGCAAATGTTAACATTGGATTACTGTAGAAGATTATAATGCTTAGGAATTATGAGGTCAGAATTGAAGAAGTCCAGGCAGCTGTGGGGTGTTAGGCCCCCCATTCCTTTGGGTAAAATATTTTATTTTTATGTGTTATGTGTGTTTGCCTGCGTGTATGTATGTGTACCATGTGCACACAATGACCATAGAGGCCAGAAAAGTTGGATCCATGGAACTGGAGTAACAAGTGTTTTTAGCCACCATGTGGGTGCTTGGAACTAAACTGAGGTCCTCTGCAAGAGCAGCCAATGCTCTTAACCACTGAGCCAGCTCTCCAGCCCCATGGGCCTCCATTTTTACTAAACTGTAAAGAAGTCAAAGCTGGGGCTGGGAAGATGGCTAAGTGCAAGCATGAGGACCTGAGTTTGAATCCTCAGCACCCACATCAAAAGCCAGGCTTGGCTACACACTGTAACCTACGTGCTATTGGGGACAGAGACAGGAAGATCGCTGCCAGCCCAGACCCAGGTTCAGTAAAAGATCCTGTCTCCAGGGAGTAGGGTAGAAAATGATAGAGCAGAATACTTGACATCCTCCTGTGACTTCCACATATACGAGGACTTGTACATGTGCACTCCCCCCCCACACACATACACAAAGAAGTCAAAGCTGTGTGTAAGGGGTGTTCATGGAAATAAACAAGAGTATTAGAGTAATAGGATAATCTAGGATTCCAGGGCCTTGACATAGCACTGATAACATTAGTAATTTTTTTTTTTTTGCTGGTTGGTTGGTTTGTGACAAGACCTTGCTATATAACCCTGGTTAGCCTAAAACTCATAGCAGTCGTGCCTAGACCTTCAGAATGCTGGGATTACAGGTGTGCTGCACCGCCTGGTTTATAGTTACTCATCCTCCTGTTCCCTCCCTCCCTCCCTTCTCTCTTCTTCCTCTTCCTCCTTTCCTCTTTTCTTCCTCAATTTTCTCTTTCTTCTTCTTTGTCTCCTTGATTTTGTTGAGATAGCATCTTGCTATAAGCCCAGACTGGCCTCAAATTCACATTGTTCTGCCTCAGCTTCCCAAGAGCAGCCAGTGCACTTAACTACTGAGTCATCTCTTCAGACCCCATGATTGATTGATTGATTGATTGATTGATTGATTGATTGATTGCCTGTTTTGAGAGCTTGTTTGGAGGTTCTAGCAGGAGAGCACAGTTACTCGTATACCCTTGACCAAAGACTGGTCCTCCTCTATTGGGGAAGGTCATCCTCTTCGACCGAGAGTGCAGTTTCAGGAAGGATGCACGTGGAGTGTTGAGGGAGGAAAGGGACACCCGCTTAGCCAGCCAGATCAGCCAAATCAACCCTGGTGATCAACGAGGTGACAGATGTCACAGCCAGATTGCCCTCACATCGGATTGTCTTTTTTCAGACAGGATCTCCCTATAGCCCCAGATAGCCTGGAACTCTCTATGGAGACCAAATTGGCCTCAATCTCACAGATCTGCATGCCTCTGCTTCCTGAGTGCTGGGATTAAAGGCCTGTGCCACCACACCTAGCTGATGTTTTTATTTTTAACTTACTGATTTGTAGGATTTTTAAAAATTAATATATTAGGAATATTAGCCCTGTGTCTGTGATACAGTATCTATGATATGAGTGACAGTGGATCAAGGCCTTTGTTGCTGTTTTTTTGTTTCATTTTGTTTTTGTTTTTGGTTTTTTTTTTTTTTTTTTTGGTCTTTTGAGACAGGGTCTCCCTGTAGCCCCAGCTGTCCTGGAACTCACTATGTAAACCAGGCTGGCCTTGAACTCACAGAGATCCGCCTGCCTCTCCCTCCCAAGTGCTGGGAATACAGGCGTGCGCCACTACGCCCAGCTGTTTCATTTTGTTTTTAAAACACTAGTAGGGGAAAGGTTTTGTTGAGCAAAAGCACTGAACTTCACTGGCACAAGTCCTAAGGCTTTAACAGTTAAGAGAACTGTATAAGATTTCTTAGGGGCAGATAAGATGGCTCAGAGGGTAAAAGCACTTGTGGCTAAGCCTGATGACCTAAGTTTGATCTGGTAGACCCACATGGTAGAAGGAGGGAACAGGGCTCCCACAGGTTGTCCTCTGACCTCCAGAGTGCTCTGTGGCACATGCACACCCCCTAAATAAATAAATGTACTAAATTTTTTTAGATTTCTTAGATACTGTTAAGTAAGCTCTTCTTCCCACTGTCCCTTCACTCTGCTCTCCTTTTCTCTTATGGTGCTGAGTCCCTTGGTCACATGCATGGTACATGCGATGTGTACCACTGAGCTCCAAGTTCATCTTAAGCTCCTATGAGGGCTGCGTCCCTGTTTAGCATGGAAGAAGCCGGAGTGGTCTGTGTCCCTATTCCCTATTGGCAATTTGGGTAACCCCTTCACAGGATGGCGTGATAAGACTAGGAGGTAGGAATTGGCTAGGCAGTTAGGGTAAAAAGACCCCAGAGAAATGTATCCAGTTTCTGGGCTAAAAAAAAGTGTCCTTGGGCCTGTTAGCAACATACTCTGTTCCAAAGGCCAAAAATGTCAAAAGTATTCGGGAGCTTGTATCTAATCCTTAAAAGATTTTAGGGTTACATCTTCAGAGGGGGCATGTTGGAGGGGCGGGAGTGGGCATGGATTTGATCAAAACACCTTATATGCATGAATGAAATTCTCAATAAAGTTTTTGTAAAAGTTAAAAAAAAAAAAAAAGATCCCGTGAGGGGCCTGGAGAGGTACCTCAACAGTTAAGAACACTGGCTACTCTTGCAGAGGACCTGGGTTGGTTCCCAGCATTCACATGTAAGTCAACAACCATCTGGAACTCCAGTTCCAGGGGATCTGATGCCGTCTTCTGGATTCTGCAGGAATTGCTTGACAGAAGCATACTTACCTGCAACATACCTGCAAGAAAACACCCATACACATAGAATAAAAAAAAAAAATTGATAATTTTTTTAAAATTACATTAAAAATAAATTATATGAGGGGCTGGAGAGATGGCTTAATAGTTAAGAGTACTTACTGCTCTTGCAGAGGACCGGAGTTCAGTTTCCAGCATCCACAATGACTGACTCACTACCACCTATAACTTTAGCACCAGGGGATCAGATGCCCTCTTCTGTCTTCTGTAGCACCTGAATGCATCTACACACACACACACACACACACACACACACACACACACACACGGTAGTCAAAGCAATCCAGTGACAGGGCAGAAGGAATAATAGACGAGACAGAGTCTTCTATAGCCCACTCTGGCCTCAAACTCCTTATGTAGTCCAGTCTGGTCTTAAACTTCTGATCCTCCTGCCTTTCTCTACCCATGTGCTGGGATTGCAGGTGTGTACCACCATGCCAACTGGTTTGTTTTTATAGTATTTCTTATAGCTGATTCCTTTGAAGTTCATTTCTTTGTGATTTAAGGAAAAACGATGAGACATTTCACTTATGGTCCAAAGGAGATGAGATCATGAAATTGACCCTGATGTGTCTGTCTTGCAGGTTGAAAGTGTCTCTGCTGGGTATTCGTTATATGACAAGGACAGCGGTGCTCTTGCGGCTTTCAGAAGAATTCCTGTACATAATCACCCCTGCTTCAGTGCTGCCTGCCAACACAAGCTTTATGCATGCCGGCGGTGCTGGGGGTGGGGGGGCACAAAGCTGCCACATGACATTTATCTAACAGGAGAATACCATTCAGAGCTGAGCATAGATCACAGGGAACAGCAAAGATACACCACAGTATCATATGAGTCATATGTCTATGCATTTACTTAGCATGTTTTACCATTCAATCAAGGCACACAGTCATCTCCCACATTACCCAACTGCTAGTTCACAGTTGGAGTTTGCCAGGTACCTCACTTTGAGAATGACTTTAGGCCAGGGAAGGCAGTACAGGCCTATAAATCCCAGCATTTGAGAATCTGAAGCAAGCAAGAAGATGGAGAGTTTAAGGCCTGCCTGTATAACATAGGGCTGGGGGTGCAGTTCAGTGGTTAAGTGTGTGCTTAGCATACATAGTGTTCAGTCCCCAGCACCAACAGACAAACAAAAACAGCAGAAACCTTAGGGCTGGAAAGATAGCTCAGTCAATTACCCTACAAGTATGAGGACCTGAGTTTGATCCCCAGCACTCATATTTAGCCAGACATGATGGCACATGCTTATAATCCCATTCCTAGAAGGCAGAGACAGGAGGATTTCTGGAGCTCAATCTAGCCAAGGGGAGTCCCAGGTTGCAGTGAGAGACCCTGTCTCAAAAAACATGGTAGAGTGTTCCTGAAGAATAACATTCAAGATTGACCTTTGGCCTTCATGCACACACATACATACCTCTGCACATACATGCAAATTTTTTTTTTTTTTTGGTTTTTTTGAGACAGGGTCTCCCCATAGCCCAGGCTGGCCTTGAACTCACAGAGATCCATCTGCCTCTGCCTCCTGAGTGCTGCCTGGCTTCACATGCAAATTTTTAATCAACCCATCAGCGCAGGCAATATTCTTACAGCATCTGATTTCCAGGATATTTTGTATATTTTGTAAACAGTGTGCGGGAAGAGCTGTGTGTGGGAAGATGAATTCTAGCTACACGCTAAAGACCTCTTTCCCCTACAGATCTCAGAGCTGAAGAACCATGGTATCCTCCAGGCCCTGACAGCAGAAACTAACGGATTGCAGTCAAGTGGTAAGGACCCCTGAGGGCCCTTGGAGTCTAGGTAGAGCCTAGATCAGACCTAGGGATTCACTTTCCATCACCTGTCCCTCTTGCTATTTCTCCTTCAGAATTTCTTAGATTTGTCATTCCTAAGTGAAAAGTCAAACCAGCATTGGCTTAGGAGTCAAGTCAGTTCATCTGCCAGTGATTTGCTGCATGCTTCTGGGAAAGCCATGCTACATGTCTGTTTATGGTGGACATTTTAAAGATTACATTTATTTATTTATGTGGTTGGGGAAAGAGAAGCCCACACAGGGGCCCATATGTGCCAGGGCACTCACGTGCAGGTCAGAGGACAACTTTTGGGAGTTGGTTCTCTTCCACCATGTGGGTCCCAGGGATCAAACTCAGGTCAACAGCCTTGAACGCACACACCTTTACCCACTGAGCTGTCTTGCCAGCCCAATAGTAAAAATATTAGTGTTGCAGGTGCTATGTGCAGAGAGATGAGAAACCAAGGCATTTCTTTCCTCCAGGAAGCAGTTTTTCTGTGCTGGTACCTGGCCCTGTGAGATAGTTCTCAAAAGCAGAGCCTTGAACAAAAAAAGATGCAGGCTCTTAGACCTCCTATTATTTTCCCTTTACAGTTCAGTGTCTTTCTATCCACATATGGTAACACATATATCCTGATTGGGTGCTCTGTGCTACAAGGTCATGACAAGCAGAACTGTGTACATGTACCCTTGCACAGTCATTGCTGCATTCTTCTTTGTTGGGGGTAGGGAGGGCCCCTACCACATTAATACCTCTCTTATCCTCAAAGGGACAATGTGAAAATGAGGCAGTCTATGTGAAAAGGCTTTGGAAAGTATCTTACTTTGTGCTTTAAAGGTGTTTTCCAGTGCTGTTCTTATAACTTGTTCATTCTGCTTGCTAGTTTATTTTGAAGAAAGATGTCTCTGATTTAACTTCTAATTCAGGAATAAAGTGCTTGCCTAGCATGTGCAAGGCCCTGAGTTCCGTCCCCAGCACTACCAGGGGGACTTGGCAGGAAAAGAAGTAAAGCAGATCATATCAGGACCTGGACGCTAAGATTTGACTCAATGAATCAAGGACTCAGTGATAAGGATTCAATGAAATAACGTGAAGGACACAAAGACATACATCATAGTGCTCACGTAACTGTATATGCTGTTATCTTTGAATGCCACTCACTACTGGGGATGTAGCTCAGCAGTAGAGCATGTGGACCTGGTTGATGTCCCTAAGGCCCTGGGTTTCGTCCCTTGAACCACAAAAAATAAGCATATAATCCGGGTGTGCTGGTGCATGCATTTAATTCCAGCACTTAAGAGGCAGAGGCATGCCAGTCTCTGAGATCAAGGCCAGCCTATGTGTTCTAGGCCAGCTGTGGCTACTAGGGAGACACTTAGTTTTGGCTACATAAGACCTTGTCTCCAAAAAAACCTAAACAATGTTTTTTCAGATTGCTCCTGACTGATTGAAACTAATAGTCCAATCAAATTGACAGTGTTGATTAGTTTATGATTAATCGGAGAGAGGCAAAATAAAGGGGTCAGTCAAATAGTGAAAAAAGAAAGTAAACGTAAGCTGCAGACTTTACCCCTGTGTCCTTCTACCAGCCAGGATCATCCGCACAGCCCGTGGGTCTGCCTGGCTCCAGGAGGACAGGCAAAGCTCATACAGGGTTGGGCCATTTTTCACATTTCAGCTAGATATGGCTAGCTGAGACTTTGCACTTTCTTTTGAGTGACTGAGTAACTGTTGTAACAGTAAATTCCTACTCCCTGTGGCCAAGGTTTCTTCTGCTCCTGGCTCACAGACTTTGGTCTCATTGCTCTTAGGTGAGGAAGCTAGACGGATTGGTCTGTTGTTTTTAGATGAGGATCTAAAGGCTGAATTAATAAAGCTACCTGAAGGTGAGGGGCGAAGGAGGAAGGTTGTGTTCCATCATACAGGCTTTCCCTGAGTTGGTCCACACTTCTCTTGTTTTCTTGTTTGTTTTGTATTTTTTGAGACAAGATCTATGTAGCCCCAGCTGGCCTGGAATTCACTCTGTAGACCAGGCTAGTCTTTAACTTGCTGTGCTCCTCCTTCCAAGTTCTAGGATTACAGGCATGGGCACCTGGCTCACACTTTTTTTTTTTTTTTAACTTTCTTTTTAGGTTTATTTTTATTTTTATGTGTGTGAGTGTTATGCCTACATGTATGTAAGTGCCATGCTTGCAGGGGACAGAAGATGGTGTTGTAGCCCCTGGAACTGGAACTGGAGTTATGGATGGTTGTTAGCCACCATGTGGGTGCTGAGATTCAAACCTGGGTATTCTGCAAGAACAGCCTGTGCTCTCAACCACTGAGCTGTCACTGTAGCCCCACACTTAGCTTTTTTTTTAAGAATTATTTTTAGGGACTGCAGAAATGGCTCAGCAGTTACGAGCACCTATGGCTCTTGCAGAGGACCTGGTTTCAAATCCTAGCCCCCACATGGCAACTAACAACCATCTGGAACTCCAGTTCCAGGGGAATCCAATGCCTTCTTCTGACTCTGTAGGCATTGCACTTACATACATGCAGGCAATACACTCATACACATAAAATAACAATAATAAAAAAGAATTATTTTTATTAATGTATATGTGTGTGCCTGTAAATGCCATGTGTGGGTGCCCAAGGAGTCCAGAAGAGTGTGTTAGATCCCTTGAAGCTGGAGTAATACATAGGCAATTGTGAGCCACCAAACGTGGGTGCTGGGAAGGAAACTTGGATCCTCTGGAAAGGCAGCACACACTCCTAACCACTGAGCTATCTCACCAGCCCCTTTTCTTTATTTTTTAAAAATTATATGACTGTAATTTTCATAAAAATTAAAATGAAGTTGATAGGACAAAAGATGTGCCCAAGCAACATGCCATGTTTATACAAGATCACTGAAAGTCATGACTTATTTATAAAAAACTAAAAACCTTAATTCTGTGGCACACTGAGCAAAGATTTAGTTGGTATTCTTTAAAAAATGTTTCATTATTCTTATGTTTTGTGGTTTTTTTTAAGGCACAATCTCATTGTAGCCTAGGCTGACCTTAAATTCAGGGCAGTCTTCTTGCCTCAGCGTCCTGAGTTCTGAGATTATAGGCATGAGCCACTATGCCTGGCTTCAGGTTGGTATTCTATAAGCCCAAGAGTTAAAACTATTATTATATTCTGTGATGATGGCACACAGAGTTTTGTGTAAGAACTCTTGTGCTTCTGGTTGGCGCATTATCTACTTTTCTTCCTTCCTTCCTTCCTTCCTTCTTTCCTTCCTTCCTTCCTTCCTTCCTTCCTTCCTTCCTTCCTTCCTTCCTTCCTTCCTTCCTTCCTTTCTTTCTTTCTTTTCTTCCTCGCCCCCCTTTCTTTCCTTTATGGCAGGGTCTCATTATGTAGTCCCAACTGGCCTGGAACTCACTATGCAGCCCAGACTGGCCTCTAATTAGAGATCTGCCTGCCTCTGCTTCTGCCTCTGCCTCCCAAGTGCTGGAATTAAAGGCATGCACCACCACACTTGGCTCTAAATATTTATTTTTAATGTCTAATTATGTGTATTTGTGTGTGTGTGTGTGTGTGTGTGTGTGTGTGTGTGTGCATGCGCATGCAGGTGCCTATGGAGGCCAGAAGAAGTGGTCAGATCCCCTGGAACTGAACTGCAGGCAATTGTCAGCCACCCAGTATGGGTGTTGGGAACCAAACTCAGTCCTCTAAAAGAAAATAAGAGCTCTTAACCACTGAGTCATCTCTTCAGCCTCCCTCCTTTCGAAAAATTTATTTATTTATTTGGTATAGATTGTGTGTGTGTGTGTGTGTGTGTGTGTGTGTGTGTTTGTGTGTGCGTGCGTGTGCGTGCCTTTAAGAGTTTATGTACAGGGCTGGAGAGATGGCTCAGCGGTTAAGAACACTAGTTGTTCTTGCAGAAGACCCAGATTCGAATCCCAGCACCCATATGACAGCTAACAACTGTCCTAACTCCAGCTCCAGGGGATCTGACAGCTTCTGTCCTCCTCGGGCATTGCACTACACGGGTGCACTTACCTACATGCAGGCAATACATGCATACACATAAAACAAGAATAACAAATAAAAAAAAAAGTTTATATGCACCATGTGTGGCAGGTCATGTAGTCTTCTAAGTAGCCAGCCCACATCCTGGCAATAAGGATGGTTTCCATTGAGAAAGGCCCTGTGGAGCGGGAATGTGGGCCCTGGTGACCTATGCTCTATTCAGGGCTTCAGTGGGAAGTTGTTTGTTCACTGTCCCTTTAGCCATGGTGCAATCTCCAAAATACTTTCCCCTTTTCTACACCTGTTTTCTTAAAACATCCGACACACCAGACTTTTTCCCAGATAAGGATTTTTTTTTTTTTTAATTTGGAGCTGGAGAGTGCTTGCTGGTAGGGTGTGGTGGTACATGCCTTTAATCTTAGCACAAAGGCAGGTAGGCAGATTCTGAGAGATAAAGGCCCACATGGTCTACGTGGTCTACTAGTGAGGTCCAGGCCAGCTGGGGGCTACAGAGACCCTGTCTCAAAAAAATAACAACAAAAACCAAGTACTTGTTCTTTTAGAGGACCCGAGTTTGCTTCCTAGCACTCACTTTAAGCAGCTCACAATTGCCTGTAGCTCCAGCTCCAGAGGATCCAATTATTCTTCTGGCCTCTGAGGACACTTTACATATGTGCATATACCCACCCCCAGACACACACATGCACATAAGTAAATGTTAATCTTAAAAATTTTTTTTTACTAAGTTTTAGGCAGGGTCCCAAGCTGCCTTCTATTGTCCTACCTCTACTTCTCAAGTTTGGGGTTCTAGGCATGTACAACTGTGCCTGTTGTATGCAGGGCTGAGGATTGAATCCAGGGCTTTGTGTAGGCTAGGCAGCCATTCTACCACCTGAGCTACATTCCCAGATCAGATATCTGACTTTAAAAAAAAGATTTATTTTATGTGTATATGTGTGTGCATCACACATGTGTAGGTACTCGTGGACCAGAAGAAAGCATCAGATCCCCTAGAACCAGAGTTGCAGATGGTTGTGAGCTGCCCAATGTGGGTGTTGGGAACTTAACAGGGATCCTCAGCAAGAACAACAAGCACACTTAATCACTGAGCTATCGCTCTCTCCCCAGACACCTAACTTTAAAAAATTATTTTTATGTGTATGAGTGTTTTGCCTGCCTGTATGTAAGTGCACCTATGTGTGCAGTGCCCATAGAGGCCAGAAGAGGGCATTGAATCCCCAGAACTGGAGTAACAGTTGTTAGCTGCCATCTGAGTGCTGGAATAGAACCTGGGTCCTCTGCCAGGAGAGCAGCTAGCGCTCTTAACCAGGGAGCTATCTCTCCAACCCCAAGATACCTGACTTCCTCAGCTTTCCTTGGACTCCTTTATCTTCTGTTGTCTTCCGCTCCTGTGCTGACGTTGCCTCAGGGACTTCCATGGACGTGGTACTACCTCTAACCCTGCTTCTCTGGCTCTGTAGCACCCAGGCATTTCTTTATTCCTTCTTGGTCTCTCTTATGAGGCCACTGGGATTAGTCATGGAAGGCGATCCACCCCTTAATACCTCACAGTGGAGGTTAAACTTTACCATGTGAACCCCTGGAAGATACATTCACCCCAAAGCTTTTTCCAAATAGCTTGTCATGTGATGTCCCCAGCTGAGCTTATGGGCTAGCAAGGGAGCTGTTCTAGCCTCATTTTACCACTAAGATCCAAGTTTTTGTAGTGAAGTCTTTATCCTATGCATGTAGTTGATAGACAAAAGTTGCCCCTGGCCATTTGGTTTGAAGAGCAATAGCTGTGGTTTAGAGAAGAGTGCTGTGTGCTAGTGGCCACACCCATCCAGGTCTTACCGAGGCTCCTTGTCTCACTCTTACAGTTGTGAGCGCCGAGGTCCTCAGCGCCCAGGAAGAATGGGAAGTGGTAGACAGCATCCAGCCAGATACAGGTAACTGCAGGAATGGCACTGTCTCCATCCCACACAGCCACCAGCAGAAGCCACATGCACAGACCAATGCACCCATGACAGGGATCAGAAGATGGATTCTTGAACGTTCTTATTTTAGTCATGTGACATAAAGTCTCTCCTCCAGTTCCACAAATGGCATCCAACTTCTGGAGAAAATAGGAAAGAATGATGCAGGTCAAGGCTACCATGCTGTCCACCTTCTACCCAGTGCTGAGGGAAGATGGGGGTTCCTTGGCCAGGTCAGCCTCTGAGAGAGATGAAGATGAGCAGAAGGATAGAGGCAGGCAGCCAGGGCCCCTATGGAAGGCTGGGTCTGAAGCCATCTGTTGGAAGTCTCTGGAAGCTAGAGAGGAGTGCCTCAAGTCCCTTTCTGACAGGTTTGGATGGCGTTGTAGCAGGGTAATATCTTGGTCTTGCCCAAGCCCCACCAAACTCAGAAGAGATATCATAGTGAATAGATCAGCCACCACCTATATTGCTGATGATAAGTTAGTTATCAACCAGTGCTTGATTTAGAGGTGACAACCAGAAGGCCGTACTGTCCCAAATCCTCGGGTATCTTCGTTTTTGCCCAGGGAGCTGGACCAGCTCAGAGCAGCCTGGCCAGCTCATCTCCTTTGGTGAAGCCCTGCAGCACTTCCAGACCGTGGACCTCTCTTCCTTCAAGGTATGGCAGTAGAGCAGTGTGGAGTTTCCAAGCTCCCACTTCCTGAGCTTATTGAGCACTGGACAAACAAGGTAGAAGCTTCTGATTAAGGACCCCGTCTTACCTAAGAAATCTGAGGGTATAGGATCTCAAGTAGCCAAAGAACCAGGTTCTGTGGCTCACACCTGTGATCCCAGTAATGGAAAGGATTTGTAGCCCAAACTGGCAATGAACTTAAGGTAATCCTCCTGCCTTGGCCTCTCAAGTATTAGGATTATAGATGTGCACCACCATGCTCAGTGTAATTTGGAAATTTAAGAAAGATGTGGGTACCAGGTATGGTGGCACACACCTGTAATCCTACGACTCGGGAGGTTGAGTCAAGAAAAACACAAGTTCAAGGCCAGCCTGAACTATAGAGTGAAACCCTGTATCAAAAAAAGGGGGGAAGGAGCACCTGAGTAGGGACTGGAGAGATGTCTCAGTGGTTAAGAGCACTAGCTGTTCGTACAGAGGACCTGGGTTCAGCTACTAGCACTCACATGGCAGCTAACAACTGTCCGTAACTCCAGTTCCAGGGGAACTGATGCCCTCTTCTGGCATTGCTAGCATTGCATGCATGTGGTGGTATATGCATATAAAACACTCATATATATAAAATAAAAATAAGTCAAAAAATTTAATTGGGAGAGCCAGCAAGATAGGTCATCGGGTAAAAGCACTTGCCATATAAGCCTGGTGATTCTAGTTTAATCCCTGGAACCCACAAAAAGTTGGGAAGACAGAACCAACCCCACAAAGCTGTCCTCTGACCTCCATTTATGCACCATGACGTATGCATGCATGCCTGCGCATGCTCGCCATCATGCATACACACATACCATAATTGAATATGTAAAATATATCATAAAAAGGAGTATTGGGGGAATAGTGCTGAGGTGTTTTCTAGGATGTTCTTGTGTGACCTGTAGTAAGTGTAGAGGAATGTGGTTTCAGATTCCAGCTAAAACCTGGCTCAGGAGAGAGGCTAAAGAAAGTTGAGTTGGGGCTGGAGAGATGGCTCAGCGGTTAAGAACACAGGTTGTTCTTGCAGAAGACCCGGGTTTGAATCCCAGCGTCCACATGGCAGCTAACAACTGTCCGTAATTCCAGTTCCAGGGGATCCGACAGCCTCTTCTATCCTCCTCGGGCATTGCACGACACAGGCGCATTTATCTACATGCAGGCAATACATGCATACACATAAAATTTAAAAAAAAAAAAAGAAGAAAAAGAAAGTTGAGATGCTTGATAGGTTAACAAAAGGTCAGAAGATGCCAAAATCAGAGCCTTCTAAGGCTGGCAGCAGTGCCCCTGACCATGGGGAGCTGGCATGACCTAGTTTGAGAAGGGCCACTCCTCAGAGACATCTAACTCCATGAGTACCATGGGCCCTGCATCCCAGAAATGGAGAGGAATGCTGGATTTTGGAATTCATATCTTAGAGAAACTCATAGTAAGGTTAGACACAGCCCTGCTGAGCAACCTGGCCTGTCTTTTGTGTGACCACATGGGGGATTCCATGTACTCACAGCTGAGTCTCCCTGGGAGTCAGTCAGTAGCTAGTTCTAGAAAAGTCTAAAAGACAAAATGCAGAGAACAGGCTGGTAATGACTACATCTAGGTGGCATCTCCTTGCAAGGAACCTGGGAGCTGGAAGATCCTGTCTCTAGAGTCTCAGACCTTCTGCCCCCTTTTCCTGGCACAAACAGTAGCTTTGGGGAAGTTCACTGGCTGATAAAAGTTCAAGTCCATTGTATGCACCTTTTTCCCCAGAAAAGAATCCAACCAACTATTCGAAGGACTGGGCTAGCGGCCCTCCGGCACTGCCTCTTCGGGCCTCCAAAGCTGCACCAAGGTCTTCGGGAAGAAAGGGACTTGGTCCTCACCATTGCTCAGTGTGAGTGCTCAGGGACAGCTCCAGGGCAGATACTTCACGTGTAGTCAAGGCAGAGCATTGTCTACTCACCCTGTGGCTGAGGCTAAGCCAGGGCTCCTGCATGTTCCATGTTGGTGGGTACAAACAGGAAATGGAGAGTGGGGTGTCTTGATGCCCATTCTCCAAGAAGCACCTCTTTCCCCCTGAGGGACCACCAGCAGAGTGTGTTTTGGGGCAGGTGGCCTGGACAGGCAAGACCCAATGCATGGCCGTGTGCTCCAGACCATCTACAAGAAGCTGACAGGCTCCAAATTCGACTGTTCCCTCCTCGGAGACCACTGGGAGGACCTGGGCTTCCAGGGTAAGAGACAAATGCTCATTTTCCTTTATTTGCCAGATGGTCCTTTCTTGGGCAGGCCAGTGCTGTGAGACCACACATCTAGGGGAGGCATCCCAGGAGGGTGTAGCAAATGGGAGGGCCTCAGGGGCAGCACACAGGAGTGTGCCTGAGAATGGCTGAAGGGAAGAGAGCCATGGGAAGATACATTACTTCTGGGCTCTTGCACATGAGATGGAAAACACTAACATGACTTTGAATCTGTTCTGCTTATGTTTCCTTTTTTAAAAATGAAAACCGTATTATTACAGAGTTTGAAACCACTGGGAAAAGACCACCAGACCCAATTAAAATTTTCATTGGTCAAATTTATTAGAGCTATAGCCAGTGGTCCCTTAGTCAGATTCTGGACCCACAGCCCTGAGGGGAAGGTGAAACTAGCTTATAAAGGTAAAAACCAACAATAGATCTTTATGAGTTGCATGTAAAAGGACTGTGGCATCAATGTCAGTCAGGTTGCTTGAGAAAAATATGTGTCGCCTCTGTATCTAAGTGCTTGCTTTTCCATAGAAAACCCAGTATTTCTCGCAATGTGTTTACTATAGTGAAAACGAAAGAACAGTAACATTTCGCATTGAACAAGGGTCTTTATGAGTTGTACGTAAAAGGACTGTGGCATCCCTGTCAGTCAGGTTGCTTACAAAAGATATGTGTCGCATCCGTGTCTAGTGCTTGCTTTCCCATTGAAAACACAGTATTTCTCGCCTGTATTTACTATAGGGAAAAGAACAGCATCATTTTGCATTGGAATCTCTCTCTCTCTCTCTCTCTCTCTCTCTCTCTCTCTCTCTTCTTTCTTCTTAATGGGGCTTTTTTTTTTTTTAACCGTTAATGGGGCTTTTTGCTACTCTAACATTCTCCCCTCTGAAGAGGTAACCCTAAAATCTCTTAGGGGTTAGATAAGAGCTCCCAAATACTTTTGAATTTTTGGTCTTTGGAGCACAGAATGTTGCTAAGAGGCCAAAGGACATTTTGACTTTTAGACAAGAAGCTGGCTATTTTCTTTGGGGTCTTTTTACCCTAACTGCCTAGCCAGTTCCTACCTCCTGCTCTTATCACACCATCCTCTGAAGGGGTTACCCAAATTGCCAATAGGGAATCAGGACACAGACCACTCTGGCTTCTACCATGCTGAACAGGGATGCAGGGTGAGACAATTGGGGTACCCCTTCAGTGGGTCTATCTAAAAGACTCCCAAATTGCATAACTCTTATCTTTGACTGCTGAATAAGGGATGTGAAAGAGAAGTAAAGGCAAGAGTAGTTAACATTACAAGTTCTAGACAGAGAAGCAGAAAAAAAGTTAGAACAGGACAAATTTCAAATGGTTATATCAGAGTCCATTGGGATTTCTTGATGAGAGCTTCCAAAAGCATCCCTCTATTGGGTTCCTCCTCATTCTTCTTTTGTCTGCCAAGGCTGGACTTGAGAGTGATAGACTCAGGATTTGTTTTCAGGCACTTGGATAGCTGTTGGAGTCAGCCCTGCTATTTTAAATTGAAACAAAATAATTTCACTTGCTTTTGTTTCCTTCCTTCCTTCCTTCCTTCCTTCCTTCCTTCCTTCCTTCCTTCCTTCCTTCCTTCCTCCCTCCCTCCCTCCCTCCCTCCAGTATTTCCTGTAGCTAAGGCTGTCTTCAAACTTGCTAGGTAGTGGAGGATGACCTTGAGCTTCTGATCCTCCTACCTCCACTTTTGGGCTGGTATTTTCGCTGTGCACCACCATATGAGAGTTTATGCGATGCTGAGGGTCAAATCCAGGGCTTTATGCATGCTAGGCAAGCACTTGGGAGGCTGAAGCAGCAGAACTACCATGAGTACTAGGCCAGTCAGGAGTACATGAGAAGACTGTCTAAAAAAAGCAAAATTAATTAATTAAAATAAAAAAAAAAAAAACATGCGGGGCATGGTGGCACACGCCTTTAGTCCCAGCACTTGGGAGGCAGAGACAGGTGGATCTTTGTGAGTTCAAGGCCAGCCTGGTCTACATAGTGAGTTCCAGGACAGCTGGGGCTACAGGGAGACCCTGTCTCAAAAAGACAAAAAAAAAAAAAAAAAAAAAAAAAACAACAACAACTCTGGGCTGGGATGTAGTTCAGCAGTAGAGCACTTGCCTTCCATGCTCCCTCAGCCTGAGGGTTTATTAGCAAGGCTCTGGATTCAATCCCCAGAACTGTAGAACAAAAAAAGGAAAGTGTAATTAATCCTGATCTGTTGGTATTGGCAAAGTGTTTACTCACTGCAGGCTCCTTCATTTACAATGTAATTGCCCTGCATCTGATTAAAGGCGTGGGAGTCACCAGCCCATGCCTGAATTCTCTCTTCCTTTTAAGTGAGGAACTGTTTTTCTGACTGACTCTCCGCTTTCAGGTCCTTGCATTTAGTTTTCAAGATGTTGACTGTGATGTGCCCATGTGTGGCATTCTTATGGTATATAACTGCTTGAAGTTAGCTCCTGCAAGTTCATGTCTTGGGCAAACTTGATAAATCTACAGCCATGATCAGATTACTGTGAATACTTTCTTCATGCCCACACTTCCTCTTCTCTTGTGGGATTGGAATGACACAAAAGCTAGATTTTTGGCTTTTTGTTTTTGTTTAAAATTTTAAATTCCCAGCACTGAAGACAAAGAGGCAGGTGGACCTCTGTGAGTCCAAGGCCAGCCTGGTCCACATAGCAGGTTCCAGGCCAGCTGGGGCTATGGGGAGACCCTGTCTCAAAAAGACGAAAAACAAACAAACAATTTTAATTCCTATTGATTGATTGTGTGTGTGTGTGTGTCTGTGTGTGCATGTGTGTATGTGTGTGTGTGTGCGTGTGTGTGTGTGTGTGTGTGCATGCTACAGAAAGCATGTACAAATTAGAGGATGACTTGCTGGGATTGGTTCTCTCCTACCATGTAACTCCTGGGTATTGAAGTCAGACTGTCTGGCTTGGTGGCTAGTGTTTTACCCACTGAGCCATCTTATCTGCCCTGCTTGTTTTCATTACATTCTTTTTTTAAAATTTTGTGTGTCTCTCTGTATGTGTATATATGACCACATATATTCCACATTACTCTTGTGGAGGTCAGAGAACAACTTTCTGGAGTCTGTTCTTCATTTCTGTCATGTGGGTCCCAGGAATTGAACTCATATTGTCAGGTTTGGTGGCAAGCACCTTCACGCACTGAACCATCTTGCTGGCTCCTGTTTGCTTGTTTTTAATTGTTTGAGGCTCAAACTAGGGCCTCATCTGGTCTACTGTTAAACTGCATACATCCCCAGCTCTGTTCTTTTTTTAAAAATGTAAAAATCTGGGCCTGGGGAGATGACTCAGCAGTTAAGAACACTGGTTGTTCTTGCAGAAGACCTGGGTTCGAATCCCAGCACCCACATGGCAACTAACAACTGTCTGTAACTCTGGTCCCAGGGGATCTGACAGGCTCTTCTGACCTACAAGGGCATTGCACGACACAGATGCACTTACTTAAACATGCAGGCAGTACACACATACACATAAAATAAAAATAATAAATAAAATAAAAAAAATAATAATCTAAAAATCTTTGTGTATAGACTCTTAGGTCTTCAGGGAGGGAAAACTCTACTCATTATGTTTTATTTAGTATTTCTTTCCCTGTGAAAACAGTAAAAACTGAGATAGAGTTTCATTGTATAGCCCAGGAAGACTGTGACCTTGCAGCCATCCTCCTGCCTCATTCTCCCAAGTGCTGGGATTACAGGCATACACTATCACACCTGGCTTTCTCTCTCTCTTTTATTCCAGCCTTTGTGATTTCTACTGTTCTATCTACACATTCCCTGACTCTGCTACCTCCAGTCTCCTGCTCAGCCAGTCCAGTGTATTTTCACATTTAGTTTCTGTGTTTTCCAGTTCTAAAGTTCCCATTTGGCTCTTTCATATAGTTACTCTTTATTAACTAAGAGTCTCCAGTTTGTTTGTTTTTCAAAGTGAGACTGGAGATATAGCTGTATTGCTAGTGTACATACTTAGCATGCACAAGGCCTTGGGTTCCTTTGCAGCATCAAACAAAAAGAAAGAATACTCCAAAGTATATTCACGCAGAGTCATTGTCAAAGTCTTTTTTTTTTTTTTTTTTTTTTTTTTTTTTTTTTAAAAAAAAAAAAAAAAAAAAGAGGACGATAAATCTTTCACTGTGATATATCAAAATAA